TCTGTTCCTGGGCTGAACTACCCTGAAGAAATTTTTTTCTCTCCAACCACGTGTAATTTCCCTTGCTGCTTCTTGTGCCTATTGCCTCTGCCCGTCTGCTGTGCACCTTCAAGAGTCTGGCTCCACCTTCTCTGTAACTGCCTTTTAGTTAGTGGGACACTCCAATTAGGTCTCTTTAGGTTTCTGCAGTTAGGCTTCCAGCCTCTTCTCTCATATGCATACTCCATCCCTCTGACCACCCCGGTGGGTTTCTGCTGGACTTGCTGCACTTTCAGTGTCCCTCTTACACTGGACAGCTCAAAACTGGACATAGTATTACAGATATGATCTCATAAGCGCTGCGCAAGGGGGAAGGATCCCCTGCCTTGACCCCCTGGCTATGCTGCAGCACATGCAGTCCAGGATGCTGATGGTTTGCTTTAACGCAAGGGAGCGTTGTTGGCTCTTGGTCAGCTTGCTGTCCAACAGGACACCAAGGGCCTTTTCTTCAAACCCATGTTTACAGACTGTAGGAATATACTTTAGGGTTGCTGCCAGGAAACATGTCCCTGAGAATGTGCTGCATCCATTCCCTTGGATTTTGGGCCTCTTTAGGCTACCTCAATTTGGCCTCCCAAAAATGAAGTAACCTCCTCCTTCCCACACGTTTGCTAGATACTCTTTAAATCCTTGTCTTTAGGCTTCAGGATAATGGAGGCCAGTGCCCTAGGTCTTCTAAATATATGGATAACTCTTACTTCCTGTAAGAAATGAACTATCCAAGTGAGTGAACTGATGTGGAATTTACATAAGAGCCCAATGTAAATGCTAACAGGTATTGGCCTAAAAATATCCACTGCTTTTACTACTGCAGAGAGAATGACATACAGCTCTGATAACTTGTCTCGTGGTGAGTCCTGCCAGGCTGTGCCTGGATCCAGGCTGATTACTGCATTACCTGGTGATGTGAGGAGGAAAACAGATAACATGAAAATGTGGGAGGTACAAACAAGTCCTGTTTTCTTACCAGAATAAATGTGACTGAAACCACAGTTAGCCACAGAAAACTATCAATCGACATAGGTCAATAGACAATTCACTGTGGATGGCTAATATAAGTATATATATATTTATCTCCATGGTATAGAATCTGTATGAAACTCTTATGCCCAAGTCAGACTGCTTGGTTTTGGCTTTGAACTTGATTTCAACTTACTTGGTTGCGTTTACTTAAGGTGTGGCAAAAGCTGCTCTATAAAGGACAACAGGGATAGTGCCAACTTGTCTGTCACTCTGTTGGTGTTGGCTGGAGAGTTACACCGGAGGCATTGCAGGTAAACCATCTCTTTTCTGCTTTACTTAGTAGAAGATGAACCAGGTGAAATACAATTAATAGTGCTGGAAAAGCACCACAGACACATTGGGAGGGATTTGTTTTGGGGAGACAGAATAAATTAGCCCCATCCTTAATGTGACCTGGAAAGAAAGAAAAGATGAGTTTGCCATCCTAGAAAGAGCCTCATAATAAAACGGTAAGTTGTCAGAAGTAATTGGATCAAGTGGGAGTGGAGATCCTGAGATGAGGAGGGCTCCATAGTTACTGTATACTGCTGTTAAATGAGGTAGAAAAAAGGTATCTGGAACTGTCCTATGCTATATATGCAAAACAAGGAGAAAATTGACTTAATAAATAGCCAGAAGGGGGTACTTCACAGCCTGTTTGGAGCAGAAGGTCATGCAAGATGCCACTGGGGAAGTAATCTCCTGGAGGGTTGCCGAAGTGCCTGGCTTTGGTTTTGATTTTCTGAAGTATTCAAGGGTTTCGCACATTGTACGTACTGTTGTCCATCTGGGATTTGGAATGCCCAAGTTCAGGTCCCTGCTCTGCCTCTGCAGTTTGCTGTCACTGTGGGCAAGCTGCTGAAAAGCACCACACTCTTGTTTGCTTTTTCTCTGAATGCAAGGAGAGCTAATAAACTCGTGCTTTCCTTCATTATAAGACAATTCTGGAACTGACTCCTTGAAGTTTTTACAGTGCTCCAAATACACGAATGACAGGGTCTTAGGGAGAAAGAGTGCTTGCATTACTGTAGCATATATTGAATATTATGGGTGAGATGAAATGTACACTGATAGTTTGGAGTGTTTGAGAGGAAACAGGAGAAGGCGGCCTCCTGGATTTTTCCTTTTCTAGTATTCTTTGTAGTGTTTGAGAAAATTCAGCTGCTCTTGCTAAAGTACAGAAACCCAGCTGAGCCAACATGTAATGGAAATGTTTTGAGAAAATTGGTGGAGAGGAGAAGGTGGATAGTTCAGCTATGAAGTAGACACATGTTTCTAATTGCCTATTTCCACTTTGTACTCAGTGAAAAATATCAGAAGGCATCAAAGGAAATTATGTCTGTACTCTGACATAAATCTTTATGCAAAGTGTAATTAGCTGTCAGTAGCATTTGCCACCATTGAGTACCTGATTATAATAATTGCTTGACATCTTTCGTGAATGAGTGCTGGAAGGAGACGAGACACACCCTTCGCCACTGGTTTTTAAGTTGTTTAATGCAGAATATGGTGGTGGCTTGGGGTTGCCAGGTTTGTTTCTGCAGGGGTCACCAAACTTTTTGCTCTGATATCCTCACAGACTCCCCTTTCCTTCCCGTTCCTTCCAGCTGTCAGACCTGATCTCTTTTTCTCCTTCTCTCTGTAGCTTTTTCACTGCTCCCATTTCCTCCCTCACCCTTTGTCATTTGGCCCTCCCTCTGAGACAGCCAGCAAGAAGGAACTCTCTCTGCTGAGAAGGAAGAGGGACCAAAAAAGAGCAGTAGATGCAAAGTTCGGCGTGATTTCTTTCTGTGTTTCAGATAAGTAACTGTGTTGGAGGAGATCCCAGGACTAAGTAAATGTATGTATAACCCCCTTCTGAATAATAATTTCCTTCCTTAGTTGAGACTCAGTCTCTTGTTTTTCTCAGTCTCTTGTTTTTCTCCAATGTTTCACAATATGTCTGAACCAGCTTGTATGAGTGTTTGAAACCCCTTCCTCTCTCCCCGCATCATGTGGCAGGGAGCAGTCCAAGGGCAACTCCACTGAGACCCATTGCATGATAACTTTGTCCCTTTAAAGTCTTTCTACCTCAGAGTTCAGTAACAGTAAGAAGCTCCCCAACCAGGCAGGCAATATTCTGCTTTAAAAGCTGTTGTGATCTTTGCCGTTGCTGATGCACCCATGAGAGTCAACCTGTGGCCAGGGCTCAGGATGCTGCTCCGAAAGAGGAGGCCAGCAGAGTGTGCTGGCATGGACAGGACAGTGCCAGCCAGGTGTGTGTGACCCTGTGGACTGCCTGCGCAGCGGCACGGATGGATGTAGAGCTCATATATCTGTGTATGTGTGCCCCCAGACACAATGCTGATCAAGTTATTCCTGCAAGGGAAAAGTAGTTAAGTGTATTATTTTCTTCAGTCTGGTTGCTAATTTATTCCGGATATGTTAAACAACATAATTAAACACACACACACACATGCTAAAAACTCTTGTTCTCTGTCAGAAGAGAGGGAACGCGTGTCAGACCTAGCCTTCAAGCTCTGTTAGTTTTAATTTGAGTTTTGGAATTAGTAATCAGTTTTGCTGGAACACTGTTGCAAGAAATAGATCTTAGCATGCATGGGGCCTGGGCACAGTTTCAAATGAGTATTTGTTAAGAAGCAGCCATTCCCTTGTCGTGTTATGGTACATTACATGAGATTTATTTCCATTGTATTAAAAAATGCAAGCCCAAGGGGAATGTTCTCTCTTCTTGTTGGCTGAGGGTGATTCTGAATTCTGTCTGATTTTTTTTTTTTTTTTTTTGGGGGGGGGGGGCTTTTAATTAAAACAATGGGATGCAAAACTCCTTCTTTTTCTAGGCTGTTGTTACAATGCCAGAAGGCCAAGTGACTTGAAGCACCAAGAACGGTGATGACACTAAGTAAAAGTGTTGTATGGGGCGGGAAGGGCTGTATCACCTTCAGCATGGCTGGGCTGTGTTTTTCACATGTGAATGATTCACAATAAAAATCTGAGGCTTTGCTCTTACTGGAGCCATCTGCTTTCTTTGTACTGCACCAGGAACATATCTGATCTACAGATAAGTTTGTCTGGTAGAAAAGAGCCCTTTCATCTACTACTAATACTACAAAAAAAAAAACTATGGCATCCAGCGACTTGAAAGTGAAGCTAAGTGACTTCAGGCTAGAGATCAGCACAGTAAAGTTAATTAACTGTGGGAGTGACTTGCCCAGGGCTTGTGGTGGATTTTCCAGTGCGAATTTATGAGAAGGTACATCTTAAGTGGAAGTCAGGAGCTAGGGGCAGGAATCGCTGGATCAAGTGCAGTGGCATCTGTCATGCGAGATGCCAGAGGAGGTGATCGCAGTGATCCTTCTTGCCCTTAAAAGTCTGCTAGTACAGAGCTTCACCAGGGGCTTCTCCTTTCATAAGGAAAGCAACAAAAGGGGAATTATAGCTGAGGACAGTTAAATTTTTGATTTCATGAGGGCAAGTGTGAATGAAGGGTGAAAACTAGTGTCGACCTTGAATTCTATTTTGATCCAGCAACATGTAATTTTGTGGTATTCCAGTCTGGAGCATGTTCGAACCCCTCTTTGTTAATGTGTCTAAAGAAAAGGGGCAATTCACTCAGGAAAAGTGAGTATTTCACACGTTGCAGATGTACCTCAATGCTAACACAGTGGCTCGCTAACAGCTTTGCTCCTTGTCCTCAGGGAAGACTCAAAATTGAATTTGTAGCAGTGACAGCACTGGTTTTGGATAAACCAGCTGGGATTTGACGAATAATCTTTCCCCAGGCATTTCCAGCTAATAAGGATTTTGTCACTGTGACTTCCCTCAGCTCTGGAAGCTGCTGCTCCACAATCCTCTGGGGTAGGGGGGAGGTATTTCCTTTCCCATACACTCCTAAGGCACCACTTTGGATCGGGAGACTAATGGCAGTCCATGTCGCTCCTTCACAGGAAAGGGCCACAATGCTTGCCCCCGGCTCTGCTCTGACGTTGGAACAGGGCTGGCAAACCACAGGGGCAACGGGAAGCCTCCAGAACCCGAAGAAATTTAATAACCAAGACTTCCACCGCCTGCGAGCCTTCTGTCTGAGCCAAGGACTACTTTTTGAGGATACCACCTTCCCTGCTCATGTCAGCTCCATCGGTCCCAACCTGATCCCAGAGGATAAGCTGCGGCGAATACAATGGAAGAGGCCAATTGTGAGTTATGCCAGCTGGGGTGTTTTGTAGCCATGCTGCTGAATGGGAGTGCTGATGGCCAGGGGCTAAAGGCCTTCACCTTGGGGAAGGAAATCTGTGCTAAGCAGGGAAGTAGACTCCAAGGGGAACACTGGGAGTGCAACTCTGCAAGGAGGGATCCTTGCTGTGGATTGTGTGGAGGGAAGATAACCTCTGTTAACATTGATGATTTCATTTGGTACATTTTTGTAGGAAGTTTGTTTCCACCTGTGAACCTTACTAGAACTAGTGTTCCCACTTTGATCTGCATCTAGAGGACTTTGCACAGACCTGAAAAGCTGTCAAATTCTATTAAAGATCTCTGATGTCTGTAGTCCAAGCCACTGACTCAGCAATACCTATTTTAAAGTAATTGGGACAAAGCATGAGATGAAGTATATTTGTCTGCTGATTCCCAGTTGCATTTTAATAGGCGGTTGTCATCATCTGGCATATGGATGTTTAAATTGGGAGGTGGAATCACATACTCAGCTATTTTATCCTAGGACCTAATTCAGGGAACCTTTCCACGGTCAGACTGCGCTGTATAACACTGCTGTGTACCATTTGCTGCTGGTGCAGCTGCTGGATTAGCCACGTGCTGCCCTTTTGCTGGGTTTTGCTGAGCACACCACTAGTGCCTGGGGACTTTGGCTTCCCTGGGCTGCAGCAAACCAGTTCATCACCCTGAAGGCAACGCCTCAGGGTGTAGACAGTAACTGAGACTGTAGAGACAGGACAAGACAACCAGAAAAGATTTATTTGGATGGTAGATGCAAGTACAGCAATGAGGGTATGCTGGAGCTTGGCGATGCGGTGGCTTTGGCATAGCAACAACAGAGGCTGCTGCCAGCATGGATGTTGAAAGCCATGGCTCACAGAAGGGAAGCAGGCTAGCCCAAGAAGCCTGCATAGCTTCTGAATGTGGATGCCCAAATGGAAAGGCAGGAAAAGCCAGCCATAGAGTAAAAGGAATGTGATGTGGTGAAACATCAGATGGAGGGGATGCTGCAGCCTGGACACCAACAGGGCTATGGCTGCAGTGTTTTGGTGATGGGGATCACCTGATGACTTGAAGCTTGAACTTCTCACTACCCACTGCTGCAGCAGGGCCTGAAAATGTCAGAGAAATTGCAAGTGCAGAGGTACAGGCCCTTCCAGTTTGGGTCTATGCTTTATCACATGGCTTGGTAGGTGTGGAGATGCTGGGTGCAGATGTCTGGGTGCCCTCTGTGGGGCTGCTGTGAAGGGATCATTCTCCTCTGCAGAAGCCTACTGCTGGCTGAATGTCTGAGTTTCTCCTCAGGCAGCCTTTAAATCTGGGTCCAGTGAGAATGCAGATGGTGCTGTGTTTTTTACACCAGCACTCTGCTTAGAGGTTTGCAGCAGGTGGGGATAATCTCTCTTGAAATAGGGGTTATAGTAGAAGAGTAACTAAAAAATGCAAAGGAGAGGAGTTAGTTGCCACCATTTCCAGACTGAGAAAGATAAACATGTGATAACTAAGCATTAGACTCACAAAAGACAAACATGGATATTAGAAAGGACTCAGGGGCATTTTAAAGGTGAATAAACTGGAATAAAATGTTATGATGAGGTTCTGTTAAGTATTAATTATCCTGGTGTTTTTGCTGTTTGGGAGCAGCAGAGGAGTGTAGGATTTTCAAAAGCATACAAACTGACTTAGAAGCCCAGCTACCGCTAATTTTGAGGCACCACAGTGTGGGATGAACAGCTATCCTACTCTAATATCCCGAGAGCTATTTCATGTGCAAAGGGACTGACATACCTCATCAAAAGTGTAACCTGCTGCTGCTAGTGCTCAGAGTTTGTCAGGTGAGGCAGGTGTTGAAGAATCCTTTTCCATTTTGCTGAATCCATGAAGATTAAGCTGATGAATGAAAGTTTTCATGGATCCGGAGTTGGTCACCCAGGAAGAAGAGGAAGGCTGCAGTGTTAGGAGTCAGTGTGTCTCAAACCTGAAGTTTTTTAGTTGGGCACTTTTCACCCATGCAGAAATGTTCATGGACGCTTTGCTCTTAGGTCATTGCAATGCTAACTGTAAGGACACATGATCCCAGGTGTTTAAACTACCTAAACTACTCAGCAAAAAGATACCTATAATTTCCCAAAGGAAGACTGTTTCCTACCTGAATACATCTCCCAGAGAGAGTGTAGTTGCATCCTGCTGAGAGCATGGCCAATTTAACCTATGTGTGTATTTTTCTCAGCCTCCACCATTAGCTCCCTCTGACATTAAAAAATTTGGCTGGAAATGTACCTGTGACAAAAATGGTGTCTTGTTCCTAATTATCTCTTAGCCTGTGTCTTTTGAGTCATATAGTATCTGTTAATTTAAGTGGCAGATAGCAATTATAACTGCTGTCATTGTTCCAGATCCAATCGAGCAGTTGAGCAACATGCTGCTTCTATTTTACCTTGTACATTGTCAAGAGAATTGCCAATTACATTCAGAGTTTGGAGTCTTCATATTTGGGGGTAATGTATAAAATAGGGAGAAAACAGCATGATTTTCAGACAGCAATAGTCAGTGGTGACAGTCAGAAACAACTTATTTTGACTTGTAAAGTGATCTGATTTGATATGGGAGTCCCTAAAGAGGCAGGTAGATCAGGAGCACCAAGACATCATTGGAAAAGTCACTTTTCCCAGCTGTGTAGTAGCTGCAATTTCCCGTCAGATGAGGACTGCTCCAGGCTGTGTTTTCAGCCCCTCAGTCTACACCCACTGAAATGGGTGCAATCAGTAACAAAGATTTTGCATGTGGAACATCAAGCATTATTAGAGGTGGGGCTAGAGGTACCAGATACAGCAGGAGCTCTGCAATTAACTGATCTTTTGATTCACCCACAATTTGGAGAAATGGAAGAGAAGTTCTATTTTAAACTGAACAAAGTATTTTCTATAGCTGAGCTTTTCTAAAGATCAGACAAAGGGAAATTCTCCTTGAAGAGTTATGTCAGATTTTAAAAACTGAGATGCTCCTTTAAGAAATATTCAGAACAAATTCTTTCATTGTTTGGTGCTTTTCCTTCACACAAGCAATCGAGTGGAACAGAGGAAGTCGCAAAATGATTTGTTGCTGTTGAATATGTGGTTTTGATCAATTAAAGTTTAGGCTAAAGATTTCACTCTGTTCTGATCATAGTGCGTGACACTATACAGATGCCAAAAGAAACTTCTCTTTTGCTAACAGTGGTTATATTTTCAAACACAGTATGTGTGATGGGAGAGAGATTGCCACGTGCGCAGCAGTGCCTTGACCCTGCACTAGGGATAGCCCACCATTGTGCTTGGTAAGGTGCCCATTATAAACATTAAGGATAGTCCCTGATCTTCAGTGCTTATGCTTTAAAAAAAGGCTAAAACAGGCAGAGGGTGAAGTTGCTGAAGATTTTTCTGAATGTCTTCAAGGTCACAAACTACTGGTCCTGCAGCTGCTCACTCTTCATCTCCTGGGGACCCTGGTGCTACCTTATGGAGGGAAGGATTGCTGAGCAAGAGCTGTGGTAAGAGGGTCCATCCCCAGTTTAATATAGGCTATGGCATGCCTATGAGGCAACCAGAAGAGAGGGAAAAGCTGCAAGGTGGCCAGTAGAAGTTTAAGGTTCAGCATGAGAGAAATCCCTGAGTGCCTCTGATGTGACTTGTGGGAGGGTGCATGGTGAAAGGACTGTCTGAAAGAGCGGACGTGGGTTTCCTCTGCGTGATTGCAGTTTGTTCATAGCATCAGGGCATGGGCTTCTGGCTATTTGCCTCGTGTGTCAGGGCAAGGGAAGCATTAGGGTCTAAAAAAAGTCCTTGGACAGAAGCCACAGAAAGAAGCTGCTTTAATGTAAACTTGAGCAAGGGAAATACCTTGTTCCCTTAGCAGAGACTTAGGGAATCATGCTACTGCATTTAGCATCTAAAAAGCATTGGGGAAAGTGATACAGTTTGGGTCAATGCTTGTTTGCTGGGAAAAGTGATTCATTGTTTGATTCATTAATTTGCTCACATTTTTTCCTCTGTCCCTTCCCAAAGTAAATGTAACCTTCTTTCATTGACAGAGTGCCTATCATGATTCTGCACTGCTTTTGGTGATTATTTGTTTATTGGCGTTTTATTTGATTCCCAGAAATTTCCAGGAATTAACGTCAATGTTAAGGAATTTTGAACCCAGGAGCTGACTAAACCAAAATGGACCCTTTAAAAAAGTCATTCTGAGATTAGGATCTTTCCAGACAGATAAGCTGAGCTGGAGTTCTTACTTCATCACCCTTGGCCTGTCTGTAGCTGGAGGGGAGAAAAAGACAGATTTTATTCAGGCAAGAAATCAGACAACAGTTTGAAGTTGACCTAAAAACTTAGCTCTAATAGCACAGGCAAAAAATGAAGAAAAAGCTACCAAAAAAAAAAAGGGGGGGGGGGGGAGGGAAGAAATGTTTATTGTCACATGAGCTGCTTTAATAAAGCAAATTACGGGAAATGTGTGGCGATGAGGCATAGTGCTGTCCTGCACTACCTGCAGGTCCGTCACCATGGGGCTGTTCTCCAGCGTGAGCCAAAGCCGCTTGCCAGCTGTTCGTGGTAGAGTTCACAGCTTCAGTATTTCCCAGGGGCCACAAGGGCCTTGGATCCTGTTCAGTACTTTTCCTTGACGAAAATCAAAATCAATTCACCTTATTTTTGAGTGTATGCGTGCAATCAGCGTAATTGAATGGGAGCAGCATTTCCAGGCTGCCGTTGTCTCAGCCCTTGCCTACTCAGCTGATTGCATCTGACCTCGACTTCAGAGTTCATATCTCTGGGCCGAGGAAGCTGCAGTGCGTCACCATTTATTACATCTGTGTTTCTGCACAGGCTTTAGGTGAGAAAGGTTTATTTCCATAGTATCTCCTGGCTCTGTTGATTTTTGGAAAGGGCTGGTTGTGGGAGGGTATGCAGGCATCCTGGGTTGAGGGGAAAGCAGTGCTCCTATGATGGTCTGCTGACACCTGCTTCCCTGTTTCTCAGGCTGGGGAGTCAGCTAGCAGGTTTATATGGCTGTGGTGGCCACAGGGGAATAGTTGATAACACTTGTGCCACTTTGAAAACTTTAGCTTGTACTGTATGGTCCAAGCGGGAGGTTTCAAGACCTCTAGGGAAACTGCCTCTCAAAGGCTTAGGGTAGATAGGGCTACATCCCATTTTTACCTCCTTTGCATTTACCTCCTTTGTTTGCAGTTGTTTTCTAGCACTGAGCCACACAAAGCAAACTGGTTGCAGGTAGAATGTGAGCTGGTTTCTGTTTCTGCTGGTTGTTGGACAACAGTCTGTCCTCCAACAGGACTTTGCTCTCACATTTGTGGACTCCTGACCTGTGCAGAGTCCGAGAACCTCATTCCTTCATTGCGAGAGCAAGCTAGAGCAGAGCATGTTTTTTTAAGCAACTGAGGCATTTGTATTGAAAACAGGCAATTAGGAATTGAGCTATTCTGCTGTAAAGTAGGGAATTGAGTTCTTGTGGTGCAAGCAAACCCCTTGAGATTAGCCTGTTTTTTTCTGTCTAAGAGAATGTCAAAAAAAAAAGCAGAATATGAATTTTTTAAAAAAAAAACAACCACCAAAAAAAGATTAGGCAGATTCAAGGAAACAGATTCCCAGTTCCCTCGAGGTCTAATAGACACAAAACTATGCACAGAGCCTCCAGCCTGGAAGTCCTTTAGCCCCCAAGTGATGAAGAGTGGGAGCTTCTTCTGGAGACTTGTTCTTCCTTAAAAATTCCAAGCAATTATAAAAAGAAATTTAGTGACAAATGCATGTACAGTGCGCTGTCCTTCCACCTCTCAAATTAGTTCTGTATCTTGCCCTTTGGATAAACAGTGCTTCTGTAGTAAGACCATTCTTTAGAGGATGAACTGGTTTGAACTTGAACTTCTCTTTTATTTTGAATACATAATGAAGTCTTCAGTGGGCCACAGAAAGCGAGCGATGATAGCTTTGGCCTGGGGGGATGAGTTCAGGCAGAGTGCTTGACTTGCAGCCCATATGGTTGCCTTCACTGCTGGACTCGTACATACTCTGAGAAGAGGTCATGTGCCTCCTTGAGCGCTCTCTTCTTTTCCCTTCCAGCTAAAACTGAAAAGTCTCGGGGAAAATGCCACAAAGCCTCATCATAATTTCTCAGTGAAACAGGGCACTGCTTCTGGACAGACTTACAGTTAAATCTGTGGTTTCTCTATTTGTCGTGCAATTTGAGCACTAGTACATTTGTGTAGCGGTAACTATGTGCTTAGCTGTATTTTGCAATAATGGACAAGAGTTTCTGGTGTTCCATGACTGCTGTATTCTTGCCGTTTAAGGAAGGGGAACTAATTGGAGACTTCCTTGCCTCCCTTTCCTTCCAGTTGAGAAGGTCTAGATCTCCAAAGCGCTGCACCCATCACAATTATGTCCTCTCTAAGCTCTTTCAGAAACCCTGTGCGCTTAGTTCAGGCTCCATACAGCATCCTTCAAGGGAACAGCCATTCCACCTCTGACTTCAGGGGTTTCACTTTTCCAAAGCTCTTCTGAGTATCTGGTCTTGCAATTCCCCACCACTGCCCCCTCCTGCCTTTGCTTCAGCTTCTGCTCGTGCCCTGCTCTTCCTTGGCTCACACCCAATGCTCCGCAAAGAGCCCACGTTCTGTGCAGTGCATCCTTTTGAAGTGTGCCCATGCAGCCTCTTTTTCTCAAGCCTGCAGAGAGGTGGCTACACTCAGAAGCACAAACCTCTCATTAAAACCTGCCCCGCCATTTCTGTCTGCAGTGCACACAGCAAGGAGGACTGCTGTCGTTTCAACCAGCGACGCTGGTGTCAGCTCAGCATTTGCCATGTGATTTCTGCTGAGCAGCCCCTTTTCCATGGCTAGTTGCATGCTCTATGTTGCTTTCCAGTTATTGCCCCCTAAGTCTGTGGGGAGTACACCCCACTGGAAGCAGAGCTTAGTGTGTGGTGGGTGGGGATTACAGTGAGAGTGTTTCACTTCAGCTTTTGTTCTCTCTGATAGCCACAAAATCATCTGTGTGCACAGTCAAGGCGTGTTGGCTGGGGCTGACTTCAGATCATGTCTTTTCTTTTTCTTTAGACAAAATTGCCAGTTTCTCTCAGCAAGCAACCTGCTTAATGACTCAACTCATCCCTGTTTGCATACTGAGGAGTCAAACATCTTGGTGGGCAGTAGGGTATTTGCTGAGGCATCTAATGGGCTGACTTTTCAGCTGGTCTCCATAAAGGCTAGCAGGATCCACAGTGCACTTAAGAGCTTTATTGTCCCAGCACAGAGCAGAGCATGAGCCCTTTCCTCAGGAATCCCAAAAGAGGTGCCGCTTGGAGCAGCGACGTTGTGTTGCATCTTCTCCTGACAGGGAAACTTCTTAGAGGGGTTTGATCACCGTAAAGCCATTTCAGAAAACTGACAGCATTTGCTAATGCTGAGCTCACACAACCGTGCGAGTCACGACTCGCACTGTGCGCTGGTCTCATTTTTGTGCAGCATGTCAAATCAATTGGGGAGAAGAAATGCCAGGGCCTGCTTAAGGAAGAGCTGCTGTATTATTTTTCTTACTCAGATGTTTTTTTTCCTTTTTATCTCTTAATTTTCTTAGGTGTGCAGTGACTTTCCTGTTTAAGACTGATTGGTCTTTCAAAACAGAGACTTACCCAGTTGCAATGTGCCAAGGGTTACTCACAGGGGATGCTCGGGCCATTGCTACCTTAGCTCTCAGATATCCCAGACCAATAGCAGATGCAAGTGGGGGAATGGTTCACATTTCTGTGTGCAAAGCCAAGCTCTGAAGTGTTTCCCTCTTCACTGCCCAAGCAAGACTCTCAAGGAATGCAAGGAAAATTCTCCCTGAATTAAAAAGTCAGCCAGGCCTATGGGATTTTGCAGCCAGAGATTAAGCTCTCTTTCTATAGCTTCCTCACCCGCGTGATGAAAAGCAGCCCAGGCTGATCTCTATTAGTCCTGCATGGAAACACAAAAGACTCGGAGAGTAAAACGTTCACAGACCCAGTGCTAAGCTGAAGTACAGACCCTGCTTCACTTTGCATGGAAACCTCTTTGTTTCTGCCCTACTGTCCCCCAGGAAGCTGCATGATTTCACAGCCAGGCTCAGAGCCCTCTCTGAAAGGTGTTGGTAGTGTTAGAGAAACCCAAATGAAAACTCAGTGGGCGCCCAGCCACAAGTCCCTATCCCTAGGAATAGCTGAGCAGACTGAGAAAAGATACTTGAGTATCTCCTCTGGTTCTGTTGGACAGGCAATGAAGCATCAGGGCTCAAGAGAAATAGTTTTCAGCTGTGGAAAAGATAGGCAAGCAAGGGTCTTCAAGGGGCAGGAACACACTGCTGGTAAAGGCTGGATACTCACACTGCTCTTTGCATTTTCTTTCCTCCAGGAACTTCAGAGAAATCCTTATTTGATCAAAGATGGAGTTAGCAGATTTGATATCATGCAAGGAGAAATAGGTAAGGTCATATTCCCATTTTGGAAAAGATTGGCACAAAGCAATAACCTGTGATTGCATTGCTATGTTCTGAGTACTCGGTGGGAAGACGTGGACCATAGTAGCTGCAGTAAACAATTAGTGCAGGTTAATCCAGATTCACACAAGTCCACACACAATTTGTTGCAGATACTTAAAAGGATTTCTAAAAGGAGCAGCTGTAATGCCTGTTACTTATATACGGTACCTACCCTCTGTGTATATAAGGACAAGCATAGAAAGGGAGATCTAACTGAGATCAGGCAGATGCTTCAAGTAGAAGGGTCAAACACAGTTCTTGGGGTAAGTAGGCACATCTCCAACATGCGTAGGATGGAATTTTCTTTTTGTCCTAATGTCTTCATCTGACTCTCAGTGTTTTCTTTCCTGAGGATATTTCTGACCATCTTCTCTGATACTTATCCAAACATATGTCTGCACCCTGTATCAGTTCCATCTTTTTCTTCTGGCCCATAATGATGTTTGTCTTTGGGAGAAGCTCTGCTCCCACATAGAAGGAAATGCCTTCCCATTTCTCATCCCACTGAGAGGTTTGAAGATTTCCTAAACAATGTTCTAGACTTATGGTCACGTTAAGACTTGCAAAGATGGGAGGAGCATGAAAGTAGAAAAGGATGGCTGGGTGGCATCAGGGTTCCCAAAAGACATTGCTGGTGAATACTGGGTAGTGGTTCAGTGTTTGGGGGGAGGAAAGAGAGACAGAATAACATTGTTTTCTTTCAACAAGCTGGTTCTTAGATGTCTTAGATGTTGAAGCCCACTCTCCTAAAGAGTTAGTTATGGTCTGCAACAGTGAGTAACTGAGTGCACTGGATTCTTCCCTCCCTTGAGGTGACTGCTGGATGCTGGCTGCCCTGGGCTCCCTGACACTGCAGAAGCAATTTTTGGAAAATGTTTTACCAAAGGACCAAGGATTCCAGGGTGATTATGCTGGGATTTTTCATTTTCGGGTAGGTATTCTCTGCTGTATTGGTACTGCTCAGGTTTGGCTGGTTGGATTATATAGGGGTCCAAACTGCAGTCCCAGATCTCAACATCCTTGAATGCATTGGTTCTTCAGTGCTGACTCCCAGTTCAGGATTTTGCAGAAAATCCCACATTTTCTAATGATTCCTTGTGCTTCAGGTGGTACAATCATACTTCAGGGAATTCGAAGCCATTTTCTGAAAGTTAGCACTCCAGAGGTACAGATACCAGCTGCTCAGATAGATTTGTGTACATATATGTTTTGGATGGTATTCTGGTGTCTGCTTTGACTTGGAGTTTGTTATAGCTGTCAGCACACCTGTGTTCTTTATCTATTTGGATTCATTTGCTGTTTCCCCATATACTTCACCTTGCCCTTTTAGCTTGTGGAAATGGCTTGAAATTACAAATCCTTGGACACAGATCAGAGGAACAGGCTTTCGATATTTTGAAAAGAGATCTGTTTCAGAGAGAGGAGCAAGGCTTTTTAGTAAGTCTCACTTTCTACCAACTCTTGAAATTCTCTGAATCTCCGAGGAGTGTGACTGGGATAGTAACTGGCAGGCCCTACTTGCTTATATCTGAGTTGACCAAGTATCTTCTGGGAAGCTAAACTGAATGTAGAGAGAATCAGTATAATCTCAGCCAGTCATCATTCTCCCTTTTTTTTTTTTTTTTTCACAAATCTGTTTCATCATGCGCAGTTCAGTACCAAGCAGAGGGCTCTGGCAGTGAGACTACTTTGACCCCCTGGAGCTCTCGTGGAGCAGCACCAGGTGTATTATCTTCCGGGCAGTCTAAGTTTTGCTCGGTTCCTTTGCTCCTCAGAATGCCACATGTTTCTGTCTTGGCCCATTTCCAGTATGCAGAGGTGCATTGTATGAGATAAACCAGCTGAAGGGACACCAGTCCGCTTAAAACACATTAAAAGGATGCAAGCTAGATTGACTTTCATGAGAGCTTTGAAAAGATTAGTTAGGAGCATTCCTTAAATCTTAAGCAGTATAAATACCTTACAGTATTTGAAAATGTTTTCCCTGTGATCTCATCTGCAAATCAATGCAACTGTTTCTGGCTTTCCTTGAGCAACAAACCCCTGAGGAAGCTACTCTGAATAGAAATGCTTCTCGGCAATGCCTTTCAATTATTCCATCAAAGATATTTTACTGCCATCCACAGGCTAAGCCACCAGTTCTCAGTTCAGTGAAGAATCGCAAACGAGGCATATCATATGCTATTATAAAAATTTTAGCTTATAACTTTTGTCACCTTTTCGGATCTGGAGCACGTTGCCTCTCAGGAATACAAAGGGCTGCTCCAGTCTTCCTACACAATACTGACTGTTTGGCTGCAAGAGTAAAGGGTGTTAAGCACTCCATCAGCTGTAGTTAAGATGGGTGACGTTTTTATCTAGAGAATAATTACAATGACGTTATTTCACCAGGAATTAAGTTAGTCCTGTGTTTGTATAGTAATCGCTTTCTCTGCCACAGAAACTCTGATGCCTGTGAGGCAGGGTGTGCCATACATTGTGACAGTGAGCGGCAGCAGCTCAGCCTGGGAAAAACAACAAGAAATATTCTGCAGGGATTATGGCACAGGGGTTATGGCACGGTGCATCAAAGTTAGTCCTGTGTTTGTATAGTAATCGCTTTCTCTGCCACAGAAACTCTGATGCCTGTGAGGCAGGGTGTGCCATACATTGTGACAGTGAGCGGCAGCAGCTCAGCCTGGGAAAAACAACAAGAAATATTCTGCAGGGATTACAGGGGGTTATGGCACAGTGCATCAACTCAAAACAGGGGAGATATGTCCTGAGTGTTAATGTCCCTGCTCTCAGGAAGAAACTTCAAAGAAATCTTTAAAGGCCCTAAGTGGTCAAGATCTCAGTTTCAGGACACATCCAAAAGGTACCTTCTAACACCATGCAAAAGAGAGTGGTTGAAAGGCATGGGATTCTCACCTTGCTCAATTCCAGAACTGCATTTCTCTAAGATCCTTGTTAAGGGAGGGGAACAAAGGAGGCAAAATAACCACACAGTATTCCCCCTCTGACCAGCAGCACCTTAGCCATGTTGTTGTCATCTTGCAACTGTCCATTTCTTTTTCTCATCTTCTAAGCCCAGGAAAATAAAGTCCTCATTTAAAAGGCTCACTACAAATGTGGAAGTGAAGAACTTCCTTCTTTGCAGCCTGCCTGAATAGGGATTATTTGTTTCATTTACTGTCATGTTCCCAGCTGCAGTACTTTAAATCCTGAGGGTATAAAGAAATTTCATTAAGCCAAATTCTCAAGGCAAAAAGTGAAGGCATTGGCCCTCTCTGAAGGCATATAGGGGAGAATGGCTTCTCCTGTACCGCTCTTGCACTCTCAGAGCATCCTAGGACTTTCCATGAGGTTTCTCATTCCCATTGTGGCTTTTCCTGTCCTTGTGAGCTCAGATAAAACCATGATCTGAAAGTCTGCGGCAGTCAGGACAAAGTGGTTCTCTTTATCCAGCTGAAGAAAAATACAGTGCTGCATTCAGAAGGCCTCCAAGCTTGAGCTCCCTACCAAAGATGACCAAGGATCTTGGCTTTTGGAAAAATGTCACTCAGCGGATTTCAACTGCATTAATCCCCACACCTAGTTCCATATTGTTCTCCTTGTTTACCTGTTGTGTTTAAACATGAAGCACCATGGGGAGGTGTGGCTGGATGTCACACCTTTTCTCTGTACAGACCTGCTGTCAGGTATTGAATGGTGACAGGAGGTGTTAGGTGACTGAAAGGACAGCTCCTTTTGGACTGTTCTATTGCCTCTCTCTCTTTTGTGTGGAGGACAGCCAGTGGCAGACTTTTCCTCAAACCCCATCCTGCCAAAATGAAGCAGAGGCCTCAAACTACTCCTGGAGCTCAAGTTCGGAGAGTCCAACCCTGCCACCTCCTGCCGACACTAAGGTAGGAAGTGAGAGACTGGGGTGAGGCAGAATGTAAGTAGGATCAAACCTGCTTTCAGCTTAGCAGACTGTAAGCTGCTTTGCTGCTGGGCAGATCTGGTCTTGTGCTTTTCTAACCGAACAGCTCATTTTGGGGTTTTCCGTTGACCAAAGCTGTTGAAATAAAATCATGCTAGACTAAATCTATTGCTGGCATACTTCCACTGGAGTCCTTAGCATTACTGCAAATAAGAGCTTGGCCTCTTATGATTGTGAATCATGCTAAGCTACATTAATCTGCTAATGACTCTGGAAATGGCTCCTTTAGTTCATCCCCACAGATCTCTCTCCCTATCTTCTCCCTTGAAAGATTTCATCAGCTGGATCAGCTGGAGAAACACCTGCTCTGTCCACATGCTGGAGACACCACCTGCGTCCTCCTCATCTACCAAGGAGATGGATAACACCTCAAAACAGTCTTTAGTCACTACACTGTCCCTGTCCATGACAACACATCAGAGTCTTAATTGAAACACAGAGGAAAGAAAATCCAGAGGCTGGATCTGGACAGAGGCTCTCTGGCCAAGAGCTGTGCTGCAGGGGAAAATCTAAGTGCGGCTGAGGAGTGAGGCTCACTGAACCATCTGTGTGATTGTTCTTTATCATCTTGAATGCCTGCTATCACCCAAGAATATTAGCATATTTCCCATGTTGAATCTTTCCTCCCACTGATGGCAGGACTATTTATATTCCCAAATGACTTCCCCTGCCACTGGGAAATCCAGTCACTTAGTAGCTTGTTTAACAATGTGGACCATTAGCCTGAAGCAGTTCAGGAGAGGACTTGCATGTATGCATGCTTTAGATTAATTCCTGTGCTATTTCAGGAGGCTGTTGCTTGGCATGAATATTAGTTCTTAAAAGAGGCTCATTCTTTTATCTCTCTCTGGTTTTTTTCTTTTTCTTTTTTTTTTGTTTCCAGTTCTGGCAATATGGAGACTGGGTGGATGTAGTGATAGATGACCGACTGCCATTTCTAAATGGAAGATACCTGTCTGTACAGCCTCGAACATCGAATGAATTCTGGCCATCCTTGCTGGAAAAAGCATATGCCAAGTAAATATACCTGGTCTATTCTTCTACCCAGTGCTGAATGGTTTCTATGAGTGCTTTCACCCTCTGCTTTACGCAAAGCACACAGGAAGGAGTTCAGGCTAACAGCTGTGTGTGTTGTACTGTGCTTATGCAAGGAACAGTGGCTTCATGCAAACACAGGGCCAACATAATCTGGAGGTGTTGGTCTCAGGTTGAATACCTAAATGTACCCAGTCCAACTCTGGGACATTAATGCCCGAGAAGTATAATGAACAGGGCAATGGCTGGTGGCACAAACGAGGCTGGGCATCTCCTTACTTTAAGCAAACTTCTTTACCTCTGTTTTCCTTTTCATATTTTCCTCTGTTTAAAACTGCAGACTCTAAAAAGGGATTACTTCTGTTTACGGTTGCTAGTCAGAGGTCATGCAGATATTTGGAGCAGGCAATGAGACGAAGCATGAATTAAGAACCTGCTCAGGCACAACACATGCACTCCTGTGAGTCTCTGGTCAGCTCTCACTTCACACAGAGAGCTCTGACTCTTGGCTGAGATCTCCAGAGTACTGCAGGGTTAATAATGATTAATAAAGAGACAACAATTTTAAAAAATCCTCTGAGGAGTAAAAGGATCAAAGTGTGGTCCCTTAGCATCTGTAACATTGCCCATTATTAAATACACTGAAGAGAAATTTCTGTGCTAGGGGTAGTACAAAAGGCTAGAACTTGGTACATGTGCCCTACGTACATCAAGCTGGTGTAACGCTTGCAATGCAGTAAAGAGGAGCTGAAGAAGAGAGCTAATTATTTTGGCAGATTTGGTCAGGAATAAGCAAATGTTAAAGCAGCATCTGAGTGACTCAGGAATAGGATGTATTTTGCCCTGAGATATCTCAGAAAAGTTGACTCAGGATTCAGTATCAATTTGCTGCATAAGATCTTAATTACAAAGCAAACCAAACCTCTATTAAATTAAAGTTGCAAGCGATGCTGTTTGAGGTTCCCATTTGAGAAGTTTTTCCCCAATGCCCATGACAAATTCTTTTCATCAGTGTAGGAAAAGGACAACCCTTCAAAATACAATTAGCTGCAAACTTCATTTGATTACATTCATTAAATACAGTGTGTATGATGGGGTTTAACAGCATGCTCTACCTGCTCTAAGTACAGCATGTTCTAGCTTATTTGCTGTCTCAATAAAAAGCACACAATAAAAACAACAAGGACTGCGTTGGCAATATTATTATCCTATTATTTCACTCTAGCAGAGTGAATTGGGAGCAGTGCTGAAAACTTGTTTCCGTCTTGCCTTGGGAGCATGAGCAAAATACCTTCATCTCCCTCTTCTTGCTATTTCTCATTTGCAAAAGGGATACTGGCTGTTTTTGTGAAGAGTCATGACAAAATACAATGTAGAAACTAACAGTTCAACTCCGTTTGATCTGAAACATCTATTTGAACCAGGCACCCTTGGCTCCCTTCCTGCTCAGAAGAAGGAAACTAGGTACTTCAAGATCAGATGCAGCTCATCTCCCTAAAATGTCTATGTTGGCATGAGATGGACCTTATTATTTTCCACTGTTTGTAAATGGCTCTAGACAGCTGCCTCAGATGTGGATGAATACATAGGAAAAAGTCCCTCTTTGCCTCATTTGTTCCACAAGGCATGTCTTGTGTCTGGCCTTGTTTTTCAATCATGTTTCCTTTCATTATCTGGCCCCAGTGCCTACACACCCCAGGCTCTCCTCATATTCACTACCTCAATGTGCATGTCCATTTGGAAGCCATCACTGTACATTGTTTATTAAAACACAGTGCTAAGACTAATTAATTTTTCTTTTTCTTCCACCCCAGGTTGCGGGGCTCCTACCAGAACTTGCATGGAGGCTACCTTTCTGATGCTTTAGTAGACCTCACAGGTGGAGTCCAAGTTCAGTTTTCATTGAAGGATCCCCCTCCTGATCTGGAGGAGATACTGAAAGCAGCTGACAAATCCCAGTGTCTGATGGGGTGTAGCACCTCAGGCCCGGTGAGTCACAAGGCTGGTAGCATGCCTTTCTTGGTTACCGTGTTTCCATAAAGGTTGCTCTTTTGAGTGAAAAAGAGACTCCATAATCACTCTGTACAATAGTTACAGTTTACGAATGCCTAAAGCGATCTTGGCAGCAGAAAGTAGGTAAGGTTTTGCAGTAAGGAATGTAAAGGCTTTTCGGTAGATGTAGATGGACCGGTCTGTCAGAGAGGGGTCTGTGGCTTCTGTTCTGGCTAATTCCACTGCGATGGAGTGGTATCCTCTTGCAGCGGGGCTGATTTTAGCCTTATAGCTTTGTGATTGATTCTAGGAAGGCCAAAATGCCCCTTTCTTCTGCAAGAGAATGTTATTATTGCATTGTGATTTGCAGGGTACTGGTATTAATGCTGGGAAGTTGCAAAAGGCTTTGTGACGTTCAGCAAGTATCTTGCTAAAAGGTTGCCAAGGCTTCCTTTGTAACATGTAAGGGAAGACTGCAAAGTGTGTGACATTGTTCCCGTAGTGCCTGGTTCACTGGGACGTGAACCTCAGCTGTTGCAGACAAGGCAAGGACTAGCCCCTCAGCTCAGGTGGCTGATGTTGGGTGGTGGGTGGCAGGGAAATTCTGCCAGTGGTGCAGTCCAGGTCATTCTCCAGTTGCAGCAGATCTGGATCACTGAAGAACTAGCAAATATGCGAAGACCTGTAGTTTTGTCAAATTTACTGGCCTGCTTATAGCTGCAGTGGGAACTACAGTGACATTCCTCTGGAGCCAGCGTATCTGAGATACTTCTGTAGTCAAAACCAAGTCTCTTTTTCTGCCACACCAAATGACAGTTCTGGGAGCTGATGGCCATACCTTTGCAGTGTGGCAGACAGCTAAAAGCTGTGCTTTCTCCCTTCTGCAGCTGAGGAGGAACATAGAGCTGAGGAATGGGATTGTACAGGGTCATGCCTACACCATCACAGGAGCTGTGAAGGTAAGATCAGGGACTTGTTCCTGCCTGGTGGTCTAGTACTGGTGATCAACTACAGGGCAGTCACACTGCTGTTCCATTCAGAGTAATTTTGATTAGCTTCACATTTAGGAGGGATTGTTGAAAGCACATAGTTCAAATTCCAGGAGATGGAAGAATTCTGGCACAATGGGAAGAGGGAGGATATCTGAATCCTATAATTTTTTCTAATGGAAAAATTCAACTTAAATTCACTTTTATTTTGGGACACTTCAACAGCAAATACAGCAGTTCTGAGGATTTTCATTCCGTGCTGACTTTTAAAAAAAATCACTTTTCTGTTTCAAATGGGAATAGAAGCACTGGCTGAAATTGTGGGATTTGTCATATGATGCAAATCTACATTTGTTCATCTCAATCACAAGCTGCCAAAAATCACTGTGTGAAAAGTAAATAACTCGCTTGTTCAAGAAGAGCATTTCTCCATCTTTTAAAGCTGTTCTACTGATGCAGAACTTTTCCTGGCTAGATATTAATATTGCTGATCTGAAAACAGGACCAATTTATCACACAGATCAAAAGAAATGGAAGGTTTTTTACAACAAGTCAGAACATGGCTTACTCCAGTAAGCTGTAGTGCACAAAGGGAGAGTTTACAGTTAGCAAGGCCAAGAAAGAAACCAAACAGTGGCTATGCTATCAAGCAAGATAGCTAGAGCACATTTTAATCTCAGAGCCTAAAATACTTTGGAAAGGGGACATTGTTTTCCCTAAGCTATGTTCTTCCTTCTCCCCTTCTTTGTTGGTTTCCTGTATGAGCTTGGCTTTGGTTCATGCCTCATGCCATGGCATGCTTGGGGCCATTATCACAGTCAGTGTGCTTCTTCTTGGAGGACACTTACTCGTAGCCAAGAGGCTCCAAAATGGAAGGATGGGGGTTGCCAGGCTCCAGAGAAGGCCCCAGCTGGCTCTCCCCAAGACAGGGGTGGAAGGATCCTGAATCCTATGGGAGAAGAAGCAAGCTGTTTCAGCTTCCTGCTGCTCATGGTGTGTGCAGAGAGGAGAAACAGTCTTTGCCCCACCTTATAGGAGTGCCAAGGCATGCAGTGAGGTGTCCCATGGGGAAATGATTTGAGGTTGGCCAGGGCCTGGGCCTTTGCCTGGGAAGAGACTGCCGTGGCATTTGTTTCCAACGCTGCCTGCGCGCATAAGGAGAGCCAGAAACAAAAGGTTTGCTTCTCCTTTCACTTCCACCACTTCGGCTTCACTGGCGAAAGTGAGTTTCTTCTGACTTAAACCAGTGACAGCAAGAAGAGAAAAGCACCAGAAAGTTCAGCTGTTGGAAACCACAGTGCTGTAGATACAGAGCCACAGATTCGGTTTATCATCATCTCTCTGTGCTGACTGTCGACATTCACTCCAGGCAGTCTGGTGACCTCATTCCTCAAAGTCTCTGCCTTTGCTGACTCACAGCACCAGATGTGCAGAATTAGGCACTGGACTTTCCCAAGGCCGTTGAAGTCATGCCGTGTGGCATGAATGCTGCTGCTTCCCTCTGTGTCAGCTATTCGCTGTCCTCTGGAGAGCAAAACGGGTACAGTTTTCTCCCACATGTCGTTCCTTTACAATGTAGCAGAAGGCACTGATTTTTAGCTGCAGTCAAATGAGATCAGAAGTTAAACCAGGTCTCTAAGGTATAGAAGAAGATCCATTTTATTACCCATCCCTTCACTGAATATCACAATTGTGAAAAGCTATGACCGAGTTTATTTTTCTTTCTTCTTTACAGATACGCTACAAGAGTGGCTGGAAACATATCATCAGGATCTGGAATCCGTGGGGCCATGGGGAGTGGAAGGGGCCGTGGAGTGATGAGTATGGTCTTAAAGCTTTAATCTCATAAGGAGAATCACTCTTTTATAGGCTTATTGTAGAGGATCTCTGCTTTTCACCCATTGTAATGAAGCAGACATTTCTAAATGAATTAATTGTAAACATTATTTCCATCTGCAAAGCAACTGCCCACAGAAATCCAGGGAAAACTAATGCAATATTGGTTTTATATGTACTCCTTACTAGGCCTAGCTCAGGTATCCCTTTTTGTCTATGAGTACATTTTTCCCAGTGAGTAATTCCAGATAAGTCATGGATTAAAGAGTTGTTAATACCTGGAGTAAGCTCTGGCCATGCCCCTAGACGCTGGCTGGCTGCTTCTATTGAAGCTTCTATTGAATATTCCTGCAACAATCGTGCATCCACCTTCTTGCTCCTTCTTTCCCTCCCGTGAGTCTGAATCTGGGAAGAGGACTGCCAGCAGAGTCGATGAGAGTAGGGCAATATTTTTATGCAATATTGAACGCAGAGAGACAAAAAGGGTCCTTGGTTATTGCAAAGGCAAAGTGCTGCTGGATGGTTTGAACTGATCTTTTGGATCCTGCATGCAGCTTTGGAGATGCAAAGGCCACTTTGCTGCTGTGTGTATAAGCTAACTTCTCTTTTCTGAGGAAAGGAACAATACAGAGGAATACTGCAACAGTGTTTTGTAAATAAATAGACGTTAGTTTTCCTGGTGGAATTGCATCAGTGTTTTCCTGACTAGAGAGATGTTCATGTGTCGCTCTTACATGATTTAATAGCATCCCACCTCTCCCTGTTACTAAGAGCACTCATAACCTTTCTACTGAGAAAAGTCAGGCTAGCGGGTTGCGTCGGAATGGGTTGGCAGGTGGTGCAAACATGTTTAAGGCTGGGATAATAGCTATCTGCTCAGACAGCATCCTCCCATTTTTTGGAAGAGTGAACTATAATCCTAATGGTAATTGAAATGTCAGTAGAGCACGTTCATAGGTAAGCTGCATAAATCAATAAATTAGTGATTCATGCTCTGTTTATTTATCTTACACTCTGCAGAAAGTACAATTATCACTTAATTATAAACATGCTGCTTGGAAACAACACATTTGACTGGCTAATGTGCCCTCTACACATCGATGTAATATCAGCACTTCAGAGTGCTGTGTCTTTGTACCTGACTGACCTCTCTAGTATGGGGACAGGTGGCCAGGGCTTGGAGGGAAGAGGCAGGATTCCCCAGCCCAGGGTGGGCAACTCAGACAGGCACAACGAAGGCACAGAGCTCTGTTTGCTGGCCTTGGCTATGAAGGTAGTGAGCACAGTCCTGTTCCCAATGTGCAGTTTGCTCACCCCTCCTGATCTCTCATGACTTGACAGGCTGGTTAGAGGAATGGGCTGGCCAGAGGGATGGAAAATTGTGCCTCACATCTGCTTGTTGATTTGTTCTTGTTTGCAGCTCTCCTCAGTGGGACCATGTTGAGCCTAAATGCAGAGAAGCCCTCCTCAGAATTAAGGATGATGGAGAATTCTGGTATTTCCCTATCAATCCTTCTGTCTACTAGGTTTTCTGTTCGTCATCATTATGAAAAAGGAGTCATTTAGGCAGTTCTCTGCTCTTAGTGGTGGCTCAAAGCACCCTGTGTTAGCTGTGTGCAAACAGCAAATTTGGAGGTTGTCCTGACCCCATAGTTTCAGAGGAAATAAGACCTGGAGAAATAGAGCTGGCCGAGATTAATTAACAAGCTGGTGAAAAAAATTGAGAGAAGTAAAAATCAAGCTCCCTGGGACCTAGTCATTTTGTCACACTGCCCTTCCCCATAAAGTGCCTAGCTTGAACCTTGGACTGGCTGGTGCCCAGCTGAGCAGGTCATAGAGCTTGTGCACTTGATTGCTCTGCAGGTGCTTGTGGTTTTTCACTGCCTCTGATTACTCTTGGATCCAGTTTAGCCATGTGTGAGCAATCCTTTAGAAAAGCTATTATTATTCAGAAATTGCACGCTTGCCCTGTGAGGCTCTGAGGAAAGCGGGGGACCAGCAGGCTGCCCTGAGATAGATGCTGCAGGCTTGAGCAAAGCATCAGTGTGGGGCAGGACACTGCCGAGGGGCAAAGCAAGGTGCAGTGGCAGAGATGTGCTGGAGATAGCAGGGCTGAAACCTAGGTACTGCTGAAAATGCCCTGTAATTTCTCTGGGGCTTTAGGTGCAGTTAGGGCAGCCCAAATGCATCGAGAGCTGACCTCTTCTGCAAGCTATCAGACAGCTCAGCTGCAGCCTGCAGTGCTCTCTGTAATCCCCTTTTAAAGAGATGGGGGGTGAATGTGAGTACCTGACTGGTGTCTCAAACTGAAAGGTGAGATTTTCTCCATCTCTGCAGGATGTCCTGTGAAAACTTCCAGGAGCAGTTTTCCTGGCTGTATATATGTAACAGAACCCCAACGTTTCTGGACTTTGGAGATCAGAACAGCACAACGTGGTCCATGGACAGGTACATCGACCTGTGGAGTCCAGCCCTTGCTCCAGGCAGGAAGAACTATTCCCCAGGTAATGAACAGTCACTGCAGTCACCCAATCCTCTCCTCCTCTCCACTGGTGCTTAAAGTTCTTACAGTGAAACATTCACTCTGAGCACTGAATTGCCGAAATACTGATTGCCAATTGTTAATGCCTGCCCTTTCCCATTACAACACCTACTAGCTAAAGAGGCAGAAACAAAGCAGCAGTGCTGGCTGCTGACTTAAAACAGGAGACTTGTGATTTAGAAATGCTGAACTCTTTAAATCAAAATGTGCTTGTCTCTTTTCTTTCACCCACTTGCAGTAGGTGTTACTGGGGACCTCATCAGAAAATCTGGTCTGGCAAACTGGTAGCTGATTTTACAGAACAATAAATACTCTGAAATTAAATGGATATGAAATGAAAGAGTTGTGCTACATAGTTCTATTTTTGAAGGTAGAAAAGCCTTTGAGCAGATGAGCCCATTGGTTTTACTGCCTCTGCAAGGACTCTTCAGGCATCGCAAGCTTCAGTTATTAATAGTATCTTTTTAAAATATTTTATCTTATCTTAACTTAGCTTTTTTTACAGCTGCATCACTATTTGGGCTCTGTGTTTTTTACCTAAGATGGTGGCCTATGGTCAGTGAAGGAACTTCTGTTTTCTGCAAAGCTGATCCTTGACTTAGCAGCAAACAGGTTTCAGCTTACAGGTTTCAGCCTCCTCCTCCTAACCTTGATCACCACGTCTCAAGGGGTGATAAGAAAGCAACGTCTGTGCTGCTGCACACAACGGGCACTGGGACTGAGCGAGGAAGTGCAGGGGCTGAACTGAGATGGTGTGGGCAGAGCCATTTTCCTTGGAGCTGTGTTTTCCACCAGCCCTCTAGTAAAGCTCCTGTCCAAGTACAATTGGGCTAAATTGCAGCTTTCGAGGCCACCCAGCACAGTTACATGGCTTAAAGTCTGGACTGGTTTAAGCAGATGCTGCCATCTCAGACCTTTTTCCCCAGTTGGAGTGTTTTACTGCTTTCTTATCAGGGATGCTTCCTGTTAACCAAAACCTTGGCCAAGAAGAAACCTTTTCCCTCTGGTGCTCAACATTCTGCCTTGTCCATCACAAATACTAACAGGAAGGAAGGGGAGGATAGCTTTGGACCATTTTGTCTTTTTCTTGTATGTGTTTATGATCTCCAAGCCACAGTCCTTTTCAGCTCAGCCATTGGGTCAGATGGCTGATTAAGAGTCACTGCTTTTCTGCCTTTGGGAAAGCGTGCTATGTAGGTGAAGCAGATGTAGGGGGGCTGAGAAATCTGCATGACTTTTATGACTTTGCCAAAGATTTCTAGAATGATTAATGCACAATTAGTTTAACTCCAGATGCCTTAACTGGTAATGTAGAGACTACAGTGCTCTGTTCTATTGAAAGGATCTTGGAGCGGTAACTACCTGTTCCTCTGGGTCCATATAAGCAAGATCTTACACAACAGGCTACTACTGGGACATCTATGTGGCTACTATTAATCTACTAATGCTTTCTCAGCAGGTGCAGTTTCAACAAACCCTCAGTATTTTTTCAAAGTGCCAGATTATGACCCAAAAACCTATAACGTAGTCATTTCACTCATGCAAAAACATGCTGAGGATAGGCAGGATGCAAAAAACCTGAAGATTGGCTTTTTCATCACCATGGTAAGCACAATCAGATATCATGTAGGCACTGTTGTTTTCTGTGTGGCTTGTTGTACCTGTACATGGAAGAATAGACTGAATTGCCTTTTGGGCTGTAAAAAGAGAGCAGTCAGTATTTGGAGTGAATTTCTGGATGAATTCTATTGTAGAACATCACAGGAAAAGTAAAGTTAGGTAAGCTTAGTTTCCTTTTTTTCACGTCTTAAGAGAGGAAAGGTTGAACTGTTAGTTCTGTAGAATCCCAGAATAGCCGTGGGAAACTCAGGGAGTCCCCAAGTTACAAGACGTGCCAGGACAATGTCCTCTGTGCCAGTGGTACTGGTGACATGCCTTGCAGGCCCAGCACAAGGCACGACAGCCTGCACTAGCCACAGCGCTTGAGCAGTGCTGTAGGGAAGTGAATGGCCTCTTGTTCCCCAAAATGGGCCTGTCCTTTCTTACTCCCCACTTTTCTATCACAGAAATGCCATGCAAAACCCATTTACAAAATACATAGAAGTCTTTGCTCAAGACCAGCACAGAGGTAATCCACTCAGAATCATAGAATCATTATGGTTGGAAGAGACCTCAAAGATCAAGTCCAACCGTATACCTGATAATACCAGATACCTGGTACCTGGGAACTCCATTACATTTTCCCTGTTTTTTTTTTCTTGGTGACTATCCAGGGAGGTGCCATTTCAAGGGCAGTTGTTGTCAGGGCATTACTAGGCTTACTGAAAACGCAGTTGCTAGTGCGGATGGATGGTAGCCTTTTCTGAAGTGTTTCTGCTGTTGGCTGAGGAGAGTGGGAGGGGGTTGCTCATAACCTGAAGAATAAAAGGAAGCAGAGATTGCTATGACCCTAATTTCACATTCTCCTGATCACTGGAGAGGTTTGCCCTAGTCCCAGACTTTGAATAATTGATGCCATAAGTCTAACAGCTCCTCATAAAGGAAAAGCATGGCTTTGTAGCTCATAAAAAAACACCAGTGTCTGAAAAATAAAAGATGTAATAAAAAGAGCATCCCTCCAGCAAGTGGAACTCACTATCTCTATGTAAGGAGATCCTCTGCCTGGTGCAGATATCAGGCCTGCAGGACTGCATGGGGCCAGGTGTGCCACTCGGAAAGAGCTGCTGCTCCTGGTGAGTGAGGAACTCACTCCTTCCAGCATCCTCATCAGCTGCCCCCAACAGTCACCAGACATGGAGGTCCCTGCATACTCTTGCATGATGGGTGTCCACCTTGATTAGCTGCCCATTTTAACAGAAATGACCCTCACTGGGAGGTGATGGTCTTGGGCATAGGTCTTGGGTCCCCTGAAAAAAGGTTGTTTAATCAGGAACTAGACCAGGGGACAAATTTGCTCTATTCTTGCTTTATATTTAAAATTTCTTTCTTCCCCTCCAGTTGATGCTCAGGTATGTTCATTCAGTTTTTCTCTCTCTTGGTATGTTCCCGAGGATGTATGAAATTCGATGAGTATGTCAAGTCTGGATGACACGGCTTCTGTGGACTGTCAGCCCATAGCTTACCTCAGGCTCAGTTTAGGCTTCTGATCCTAGGTGATCTCCTATACAGGAGCTGAAGGGCAAGGCCAGAACAGACCATTACTAGAGGTACCAGGATTACTGAGAAGCACCTGGTCAGTGAGGGAAAGGGGACAGTTATGCTGCCCATAGCTTTTTGTAATGTAGTGATGTTGGTACAAATGCATAGCAGATCATACAGAAAATATTCCCCCCATGGACACAGCTGAAGTATTTTAACATGAGAGCTGGTCTACCAGCTCCTCACAGCCAGCCCAGCATCTTGCCCTGGTAGCAGCAAAAGCCAAGTCCAGGAGCTAAAACCAGGGTAGACGTACAGTGCTATTCCCTTGGTTTATTTCCCAGTCTCCAGCCTCAGTGCCTAAGGGCAGTCAGAGGTGGCATCTTTGCATAAAAGTTTACAAGGGTTTGGGGGTTTTTTTGCACAAGGGGAATGCAATTGCTAAGATTCATGTGGCTTCACTCTTCCTCCCTGAACTGCTTTCACTGCCATTGTTCATTAACGGCATCATTCATTGTTCGGTACCTTTCGAAATGCATCAAGTTGTTGCTGTGAAGTAAAAGGAGTATTATCCCTTGGCAGGATGAGAGGGGAATGCGGTGCAGGCAAAGATGCAAACCAGAATGGACGTATCCGATAGCTCTAGGAAACCTTTGATTAAATACAGACGTGGAACACTAATACATGGCTGTGAGGGAAGTTTAATGTTGTGTGATAGAACTGAGCAATGCATAGCGGCTGATTCTTATCTCACACCAGTTTTGACTCCATTGAGATATTAATCTGCTTCTGCTTTTTACCAGAAGGAATGTGGAATGAGAATCAAAAGTAGAAAAAGGATTACACCATTTATTTCTTTGCAGCACTGCCCATTTCTATCTGCTCAAGATCTGACCCATAATACTTGGCAGTCTACATACCTCCCAGACATCTGTAACAGCAGTCATCTTTTTTTTTTTTTCCTCCCAAAATAGCAGTTTTATGTTATTTTCTCCCAAAGGCATGGCTCATAAATAACTCTGCCACGCTGCATAGCCATTCTAAATGGAATTTATACATGCTGATGTATTTTGGGGAATATGTTTAGTAAGGGTTTTTTATTATGCTATCTTTACATGTCATGGTAGTAATAGCTATTGCATTATATTTGTTTCATCTCAGCAAAACTACTGGAATAACAGAAGAAAGATCAGAATATTCTGTTTTCTTGTGACACTTGCTGGAAGGTTTGGGTTGTGATTCTTGAAGCATTGTCATCTGGGTGAGATGCTTAGTGAGTTCTCTGACCACTCTGAGTCATGCTAGATCTCAAAGAAGCTTTAGTAAGAGTATTCATCCTTGATTCCTTCATGAACTCCAGTCTGCTTAGCATTAATTGAAGTTCTCTTCAAATCCACTGACATTCATTTTGCCTTCTGTTTCTTTCTGTTCTTCCACCCTTGTGTATTTTTGATGTACATTGAACAAAGTCTGTCACCTGGATGGGCTTTTCATGCCACTGGGGAGGTTAAGGAGTGTTAGATGCAGGGTATCTTTAGAGAGCTGTGGGAATGTAAGGCTGCTGTGGATGCACTTGATGATTTACTTTGGTTCATGACATGAAGGGGAGATAGCCAGCTATATTTTTCTTTTAGGAGAACTCCGAAGTTCTGAAACAAAACTTTTCCCTGACTCGAGACGTGACCAACTGTCTTATCTTGAGCCCAGGAACCTATGCTGTCGTTCCCGCTACAACAGAGGACCAAGAATTTGAATTTCTCTTACGAATTTTCATGAAGAATCAAGACTACAATGGGTAAGATGATAAGTACTCCTTAAAGACCCCAGACTTACAGTGTGCCAGGATTTAACAATTTAGTGTCAAGGTAATTAATATGGCAATTTGCTTTTAATGTACTCTAGAAGCGTGTCGGGAAGACACAGCCGAGTCTAAAGCACCATGTTGAGGGGGATCAGATGCATAATTAGATGCATGGGGTGGCCACTGCAGAACAGGGCAATAGCTCATCTGCGGCCACCAAGGGTTTCAGCTTTGGTACAGAGCCACACAAGCAAGCAATAATTGTGAGAGATGCCCCCCTCGGTTGTGGGGAAATCTCTCTTTACTGAAAGGAGGACTGAGACCTTGTTTTTCTTAACAGCTGTTATGTAGTTTCTTATGTTATGCCAGCTGGATGCCAGACAGATCAGGTCCCATTCTGCCCAGAGCAGGACCTAGAGAAGCAAAGAGCAGTGAAAGGCCTTGATCTTTTCACCGAGCCATCTTATAAACAGGCTGGTAGGGCTCCCTGTGGATATGAGAAGGGCCTTAAAGATAAGTTTAGTGGAAAAATGGCATCTTAGTTCGTGCAAAGGCAGCTGTTATCACATTTTCACATAAATATCTGGGTGTGCTTTACGTAAAGAGCAAGCTCCAGCATTCAGCCTTACTAAATGACCTTCAAGCATCAGATGTGTGGTGGCTTTCCTTCAGCAAACTTTATAATGGAGCTGATTACAGCTCTTACCTCATAGGCCTGTATCTTAATAGTGAGATTACTTTCTAGGCTTTGACCCCTGGCAAAAATAGCCCAGAACTAACTAAGGCAACTCCTTAGTTATGGAAAAACAAACATGAGAACTCCGTGCTTTGGGCTGGACTGCCTTCAGCATGGTGAGTCATGCACAAGATGGCTCAGCCTTGGGAGGTAGCACTTTCCAGGAGAGCCTCTGACCCTCACAGACCTTCCTGAGCTAGGTGAAGCGTGGGGAGCCCCTTCCCATGGGTCTCTGCAGCACTCACATATATAATAGCACAGATGCTACAAAAATAGCATCTGGCTTGCCTAATTTCTCTACCAAAAGCAAAACTCAAGTATTGAATGTTGTTACTAGATTTTAGAAGGAATGGAGAGCCTGGCTCAGTTTCAGGCAGTCTGCAGACCTTTAAAAGATGTTGCCTTTTAATAGCCCAGATGCTATTTTTGTTCCTGACTATTAAACCAGGCAAAGAGAAAGCAGGTGAATTTTTATGTGGCTCAAGGCAGGGCAGCCCCGTCTTCTGTGTGGTGAGTTTAGTCCTGGCATGCTCAGAGTGAGACAAGTTACCCTTTCTCTGCTGCTGATGCCAGCAGTGGCAGTGGCTCCAGCGCAGCCAGAGACTCAGACCTGCTTATGTCTGTGTGCACAGAGAGACCCAAGACTAGTGCAACAGGCTTGACTGAACTGGGACAGGCTGGGTGGTGTGGGTGCTGAGCATCTTGTGGGGCCGCAGGCTGGGTGAGTGCTCCTGTTGGTGCCTGCGTTCTGCCACATCTGCAAATCAGTGCTCTGAAAAGGCCCCTTCTCTCCCACTTTGACTCTTGAAACTCTTTTCTAGGAACTCAGACTCCTCACCCAGACCATTGCTGCTGACGGTAAGAGTCTGTGAAAGCTGATGTAGATACTGGTGGTGGTGAGTGGTTCCCAGAATGCTGGCTGTTCCGTAGCCACCCCTGCTGACTCTTCTTCCTACATGCTAGACACCACTCCACTCTTCTCTCCTTTCACCACTGGGTACCTGTCCCAGAGTTTGACTCTGGCACCCTCTGACCTTGCTGGGAGGGCACATGACCAGCCTGGGGTAGGTCTGGAGAGACAGGAGTGACAACGAAGCCCTTCCTCTTCACATACGTCTCTTTCAGAGCCTGATTTTTGAAGGAAACCAATCTTATACAGTCCCTCTGTCAACCTGTCCATCTGTCCTTTTCACCTCGCCACCTTTGACACTTTGACCAACCAAATATAGCTGGGGGGAGCATTTGAAAGATAGTAAATTCTTGCAATGTCTGTAAAATGGGTATGTATCTAAGGAGGAGAGAGGGGGAAACTTGGATGAAAAGATCACAGCTTGAGTTTGACCTCTTTTAAAAAGACCTCACACCTGAGAGCGGGGTCATACATGCCTTCCTTGTGGGAATGGCTTCATTTAAGCACCCTATAAAGCACAGAAGTCCATAGAGGTGAGACTCAAAGCAGATTTCCTCTGATTTTCATCAGGATATTTTCACAGACGTAAGGGAAATTACACTTCAAAACTGGTTGTGCCTCTAGTTCAACCCACATTTCAGCCTGTTGAGTCCAGCTACCATCTGTTGCTGGACTTCCTTGCTGTGAACTGTGCAAATTGCCAGAGCTGGTCCAGTCCATGCTGCTGTCTCACTGGTTGCTTGCAAAATCCTGCTGCTGAGAGGCTCTTGTTTATAGTAGTGCAAAGTCAGCGCAGGTCTTTGAAGCCAGAGGTGTAAAGCTGCTACAGGAGAACAGAACACAGAGTCCTTTCCTTGTGATTCATTTTCCAGCCTGCAATTAAGCCCCATTAGAGGGGTAGTCTAAATGGTGGCTTATTATCTCTTTCCACTGACAAGCTGTCAGTTTACTCGACTGTTGTCATTAACCAATGTTTTGGCTTTGATAAATTACGGTACTCACAATTTCTGCTCTTGTTCTGGTTTTTGAGTTTCACTGGTGTGAATTATCTCGCACAGAGCTGAAGGCATTGGGGCTTAGGCTTAGATTTTTTGGGGAAACTTTATAATGTTAAGGATAGTTCTCCTTAGTGCTTGGTGGAGCTCTTCACCTGAGGGCTGAAAAAAAATGATTTAACCATTGAATTGTAATTGCTCAGGTACAGTCAAGCCTCCTGTGGGGTTACATAGGTAACAAGAGAAAGGAAGAGCAAACTCTTGCTCTGTTTTCTTGGTTCACATAAATCTTCACATGCCCTAAGCCAGTGGTTTCAACCAAGGGCCATCAATAAGGATCAGGCTTTGTACCTCTATACTTATGTATTGACTTGCTGAACTCCACTCTGGTTGTGTTCTATTGTCTTCCTCAGGCCCTGAGATGCACCTTCCTGGTTGTACTAAGTGATAGCATCCAAACTGTGCTTCTTCCTTCCGTGCAGTAGCTGTTCCTCGCTCCTAGTCCACTTTTCTTTTGGGGTGTTAAAACTGCAGCCTGTACTGTACATTCCCTGCCCTCTCTAAAGGGCTGTTTGGATCTGCAGACTTCTGCCTCCAGTTGTTTTGTAACTGAATTATTTATGTGTGTACTTTGTCTTTTGATTCAGGATGTACCAAGACAGAACCAGGACGGCTCCTATAAGGCTGTCTTCCTAAGATATGCTAAGCAGGTATCCTATCTAAAACGTCTTCCTGAAAAGTAAGAAGAAAAAAGGCATGTGGACTTGCAAAACATAAAAAACTGACCTATGATGTTGGTACAAATCCATTTAGAAAAATGTTTCTTGGAAATGTAGCTCCCTCCTCAAGTAGATACCCTGAAAACACTATTGGTTGACCTGCCAAAACCCTCAGAAAAATGGGACGTTCAGCTGGGATAGATTGGCTAGCCCAATATATCAGCAGAGGATTAGAGATTTGTGGTTGTGCTGGTGATGCGCTTGCATGTGTACTTTTTTTGTTGGCTTTGGTTTGTTTATTTACTAAAAGCAATTAGAAAGCCTCGGGTATTCCTCCCTCTCATCAGCATCACTTCCTATTGCCTTCCCGGCATTTGGAAACCAGACATCAGTCAGTGTTTGAGTAATTGATTCCTGCTCTTTCAGAGCCAAACTCTGTGTGTTCACAGGAGATGCTTTTAATGGTTTAATAAACTGTTATAAAGAACTCCTCGACTTAGCCAAGAGGAAAAAAAATCACTGCCAAAAGTCTATGCACAATGGACCTCTTGCAGTTAATAGTTATATCAATGCACAAAGGTGAAAATGAACACAGGCTGCCATGCTGAATGCCCTGGGGGTGTCCCAGGAGGCAGGCGGTCAGGTTCATGGATGGGTGGCTGAGAGGGAAGCAGGCAGCAGTGCCTGTGCTCCCAGGCCTCTCGCCCAGCTGCCTGCTGTGCCTGCCCGTCAGCAACTACGCAGCTAGGGACTGGTGAAGTTGGGGGATGTTCCCATCACTGCTGAAAATACCCCATGGTGATGGGAGTGCCTGTAACTCCCCTGTAGACTCTTGTAGGGAAGGACAAAGAGTAGCCCAGCAGCATGAAGGGCTTTTTTATGCTCCCGAGGGGCTGCTGCTTCTCCTCTGATAAAAGCAGAAGTCCTTCTTGGTTGTCACAGGGCATGAGTAAAGAAGTTTCAGGCAAAAGTGATGCAGGAGAAAGCATTATGCTCACTGACGTCTCTGCATTTTATTCCACATTAGGGCTCAGCTATTGATGCCTCGCAGCTGCAACAACTCCTTAATGAAGTGATCCTGCAAGGTAAAGCTTTTACAACTCAGCTAATGTCTTTGGTGCTTCCCTACCCCTAGTCTAGTGTAAATTAAATGGAGGATTTAGTGGTGTCCTGATGATCCTCAAAAAATCTTCAGCATGGGTTGTTGAACTGTTGGATCTTGAAGAATGAGAAGTGCCTCCACCAGGGTTCCTTTACATGCATAACAGTTTGGCTTTGTTTTTTAAAGAAAATCAAAGTAATGTTCATATGAAGAAGGCAATACAGCCCAGACCAGCTGCTAACAGACTCTTTAATGCATGGCCATCAGCAAAGGTGTGCATCTGTTTGACAGCCAAATTTCACTCTTCCCTCCTCCTTTCAGTTCTGCCAAAGGATAGCCTCTGCTTCGCAAGCCTACCCCACCCCGTGCTGCCCTTCTGGATGTCCCTGCAGCCCCCATGAGCACCCTTCCCGGTCCGTGCCCCACCAGTTGTAGCAGAAACTCAGTCCCTGGCTGGGCTGCACCAGTGAGTGCCCCAAGGAGCTGTGCCTCCCCCTCTCCTCACTGGCACCCAGTTTCTCCCAGTTCAGCCCTGGTCTGCGTCGCCTCTCTGCAGAGGCCTCAAGCTGGCTTTCAGCATTTCCCAGCCTTCCTAACCTGCTCACCTCAAAAATAGCATGAGACAAGGGTGCAGCTGGAGGGCTTGAACCAACTCAGTCATGCACAAGTCTCAAAGTGCTCTTAGGACACGCTGATGCAGTGTAAATGGCCTTTCTTGTCACTGTCATTTCCCTTATCCTTATTTCAAGGGGGAAGAGTTTCCATTAGGGCAGGTAGGTGGGCAGAGACTGTGCAGATAGTACCTGTGAGCCCAAACAGGGCACCTGTCCTTGGGGAAGGAAGCAGTGGAGATGTCTGAGATATGTCAGACTCCCTCAGCAGACCTCAGCCTGGCACATAGCCCTTGCTACTGCTTGAGAACCTGAGTCAGATCTGGGGCTTTTTACCTACATGAGCCTTCAGACTGATGTCCTCCTTCCCTCCGAATGGTGACCTGATGCCTCTGTCACTCCCCTCGCTCTTGCTAATTCCTTCTGTTTTGTCAATCCTTGCAGATGAAATGACCAGCCTGGGAGGAAGATTCACCTTCGATTCATGCAGAGGCATTTTAGCTCTGATGGATGTATCCTTTCAGCAGAAGCAATAAACTACCCTGGTACTGCCCTTCCTTGCCTTGAGTTATGGCTGAGCTGAGTGTCCCAATGTGAGAACCTGGAAGTAAATATTAGCCACAGTCCTCAATAAATAACTGTCCCAGAGTCTATGGAGGACTTTGCCATGCATGCCCTGGCTCTGGTGTGTCTGTTGAAAGGTGAGGGTCAACCTTCTGTTACCAGCTAACTCTTTGCTCTCATTTTCCCCTCTGCAGGGCCCAGGGCTTGGCTAAGTTTCACCCCTGAGTGCAGGTCCCAGGCAGAGCCTGAAGCCAGGAGGCAGGACAGAGCTCAGGCATAGCTCAGCTCTTCCATCACAGCTGCAACCGTGCTGGTCTGTGATGGCAGCTCGAGCAGACCGCTGGGACTGCCAGCAAAGCTGGTGTTAGGGGGAGAAGCACTGTCACTGCTGAATCACAGGCACTTGCCTGGCAGGCCATTCATCCTTTCCAGTGTACCTTCCCTATTTAGATGGATCACGCAGTCTTTTTGCTGTTAACAAGACAACGTTGGAAATACATTGCTGACCGTTGTAGAACAAGAGGGCTCCTCGATGAAAACATAAATTCTCCTCTCTGAGTTTTCTCTGCCTTGCTTGCTTACTGTCTCTTTTCTTCCATGCCTTGAAATAACTTTGAGACTTTCTCAGGCCTTTACAAACTGCCAGGGAATGACTAAAAATGACCAAAAGTCCTTCTCTCTTTCCGACTTTCTGCATCTAGCCAGTGAAAGAGACTTTTCCCCTTTCCAAAGCCCCTCCTGGGCTAAGTGGGTACTGTGAATGCATGGCATGTGCAAAGAACTGACAAAGCCACTGCTCTGCTTTAATTCAAGATGGATTTTTCATTCTCTGGGCTGCATACAAGCCATGTACAGTGTGACCTATCCTGCCTTGCAAAGACAGGATCAGCTTTTTTTTCACTCAGGTTTCACGGCAGTGGCACTTGTCTGCTTATATTTCACTGGCAATGAGTTTTGCTTTCAGGGAGTTTTCACCACCCGAGCTGCATTAGTCTGCCCAGGACTCCTAGATGGGGTATGGAGGGGAGCAGGTTCACTGACATAGTCTTTTGAGCATCCCTGGGGGATGTCTGCTGACATCCCTGGGCTCCTGCAGCTCATGGTGGGGGAAGTGTTTTCTTGTGTGTGGCATATGTGTGGCTTAAAGGCTGCTGTTGCCTTCTGACAGCAGGCATCAGGATCGACTCCTCACGCTCTTGGCTCATTTGGTGCCTGTTCCTCCAGGAGGATCCAGATAGACCTAACGGTGGGCTGCCTCATGTGGCCACACATGGCCTGGAGTACAGGGTCACGTTCATCCACAGGGCCTAAATGTCAACTGAAGCAATCACAGCAGGTTCCTTTGTGGCACCACATAAATAGAAACCTTTTGTTCTTTGTGAGCACAGGTACGAGCAGCTGTTCAATGTACTAAAGAAGGTGAATTTATCTCTAAGCATAATTGAGAGCAGAAAAGCTCTTGGCTTTCTCAACACAAAGTAACAGACAGAAGAGACTGCATCTTACGTCTGTCTTTATGTGAAGGCAGCATCCTCGGGAACAAAGACAGCCAGGTTCAGCTCTCATTAACTGTTCAGTTCTTAACTAAATGCACAGCTCAGTTCGAACGGACAACTCACGCTGCAGGAGTTCGGAAGCCTCTGGCGAAGTCTCACTAAGTACATGGTACATGGGGGCTGCTCTTTCTTCTCTGCCAATACTGTACTCGTGGGCTTTTCATCAGCAGGGTGCAGGTGCTCTGTGATATCAAAGCACTGGGGGAAAAAGACATTGCAAAGGTTGCTTGCTTAGTGGGTCAGATTTCCATCCTTTCATGCAAAGTTTGAGAGCTCAGGAACCAGTGGTGTGTGTATAGTGCTCGAAATGAGCAGCCAAGGCTTTTCTAGTGCAGGGAATATTGAGGGAAAAGTGGGAAAAGGTAGGGAGGCCTATTAGGCTCAGAATTTGATGGAAATCACTGTTTGTGTGCCCCCCACTGGTAATTTTTTTAGAAGCTTTCTAAGCTGAAATGTATTCTTGAACAGAGTCATCTGAAAAATGTCACTTCCTCATTGCTGCAGTTTGTAGTGGAAATGTGTGGGATCCAATGAAAGTTCATCTGGGAGAAATGCCTCTGCTCCAAGATAGGCATTAGGTCTGGAAGCAGTGAGGACAGTAGCTTGGTATTTAGGGTCCCACCTAAATTCAGTGCCAGGGCATACATGGCAGCTTGTCTGCATCAGACCCTTTTCCCTCAGTCTTGGTGCAGGACAGGAAGGTTTCCTGAAGCCTCAGGGTTGGGTGGGCTCTACTTTGTTCCATCCCTCTTGAGATGGTCTGAGGCCACCTAGGACATGGGGTGCCAGTTCCCCATCTAGCAATGGTGCTCTTCCTACTGACAGCACCTCAAGTATGGCTTGTGGGGTTTCAATGGTGTGTTGGGAAGGATGACCCCACACCATTCTGGGACTTAGGGACTCCTGGCTTATTTCTCATGTTACAGACAATCTCTTTTTGTCAGCGGAGGTGTGAGTATTCCCATTGCTGCCTGCACACCTAAACCAGGGAGAGTGAGGAGAAAGGCTTCCACCTACCCAAAACTGTGAGATTTCTTACACAGTAACATACTATCTGAGCCCTCTGGAAATGAGTGTCCCTTGTCATGGTCACCCCATCTCATCTGTTGAACTTCCTTGCAGCCTGTTTACTAAGGAGGGGAAGCATACTACATAATTAGATGTAGTAGTAAATTTGGGGAATGCTGATATGGGCTTGAAATCTGCCTTTACACTGTTTTTTAGGATATCTTCAGCAAGGAAGACAGAAATCATTCTGGATTTCTTGATATGTCTGAACTGAAGAGCGCGATACAGACAGCAGGTATGTCCATAGGTGCTGTGCAGCTCCCTTTCTTGTCCCTGTGGCAGTGAAGAAAAGGATGAAAAAGAGAGAGGAAAGGAAAAACAGCTTCAGGGAGAAAGCAGTTTGGATTGCACAGAGGTGCCAGTTAGATCACAGCTCTGCTCAGAGGTCTGCATTGTTTTAGGGCATTGAGACAGAAAGCTCATTTAGGGGATGAAACCTTTGCAGAGAAGCACAGCACTGGCCAAAGCCTGCAGACTAGCTTATGTATAGTCTCTCTAGGTCATGGACAAAACATCTAGCAGAGAAAACAACCAAGGAACAGACGATGCTTGCACTTGCCCCGATTCCTGCAGTTCTCTCCAGGGCAGTGACAAAGTCTAGAAGGGAAAGCCACAGTGACAGACAGTTATTTAGTTTGCACTGACCTCTGTTGGATACACGGATGCTGAAACTTGCAGCGAGTGCATGGGACCCCTTCACATGAGTGAAGCATTTTAGCTGGGTCATTTCTCCGGAGGCTCTGTGCATGAAATACAGCTCTGAGACAGTATTCCTCTTATAATTGTACAGTAGAGAAGCTCCCATTTGGCTACCTGGAGCTTGGAGGGGTGTTGTCTCCAGGAGGAATCTGGTGCAGAATTGCTGTCTGTGGAAGCCATCAGCTCAGGGGATGTATGTGTAATTTTTCTGTTGCTGAGAGGTGGGCAGAGCATGAGCATCTGCCTGAGGAGCACAGCACTAATGTGCCAAATGTTAAAGGAGAAGCTGCCAGGTCCACTCTGTAAGAAAGGTGCTAAAGTGTAAAACTGGGAGGAAGATTGTACATTGAGAAGTCCTGGCAGCCAAAACAGTGCAGTTATTTGAAGGGATAAAAAAGCACTGTTAAATGGCAAATTCAATACATGTTAGCCTATAAGCAGTTCTGAGTTGGGGAGAAAAAAGAAAATTGTAAGCTAGTTCTTGCCGCCTTCTGAGCCAGACAGCTGCATTTGAATCTGGCTTTGCATTAGGATGAACCCCATCCTGGCTTTTAAGCAGGAAGGAGTGGACAGCCCCAGAGAGTGTTTGGAAGCTTGGTGCTACCTCTGGGAATGGCACTAATGTGTCTAAATACGGCTCCTAGCCAGCTGTTCTCTGAAGCATTCAGTGCTTTCCCCAGCAAAACACTGAAGTGTGTGCTTAATATTCTCTGTTGTCCTAATACTTCAAAGTGTAGTAATGATGGGTCAGATTTTCTGCTAGAGTAAAGCAGACTAGCTGCATTAACAGCAGTGCTGCCCTGAAATGCAGGAACATTCGACTGGTGTGTTTACAAACTCCTCACTGGCAAGATTAATTTAAAAAAATAGTGAAACATAAAGTCTGGTTTTTAAAGCTTGACTAAAAGCAGAGGGAGGAATCCAGCAGACAAAAGGTGTGGGGAGTAACCTTACAAATATGCGACAGCACATAACTGAAATGTCTTGGGAACAGAGAGGACTGACACGTCAGTCTTCTTGATGAGGTTAATTGAGAGACATTGCCAGGTGAGCAGATTTCAGGGCAAATGTATCCCAGACTGACCATGCCAAATTGTCGGTGTTTTACTAGTGTAAGACATGATTATAGCATCTCGTAAGGAGCACCACAATGCTTGCTGGAATCTGCTCTCCAGAGAGAGCTTGACTGAATTCCCACTGCCTTCATAAGGTTAAAAATGAAATAGAATTCATTGCTCACTACTACTGTGGTTCTTGGCAGTGGTTGAAAACCAGAATAAAAGAAAAAAATTCATTAATTAGATTTTTTTTTTTAATTGCTAACTTTTCCTCCTAGGAAAAAAATATAAAACCAAGTTTATCTTAATTTGAACTGTATCTTAAGCCCAAATGTATTTCCATTATTTAAATATTCAGCATTGTGTGTCTGCTTCCTGCTGGAGACCTTTTCCAATTAGGCTCATGCAACCAGAGTTTGTCGACGTACTAATCCACCTCCATTGGCTGTATCTCCCCCTACCCAGCTGTAGAGAAACCATTTCCTTCTTTTCTGCTTGTTCAACTAATTTAGTTCCATAATGTGTTCATTTAAAACTGAAAAGTTTAGAGTTGGTTGAAAAAGCAGGAAAGTTACTTCTCTTCCAGTTGAGCCACTAAAACCTAGGAGTGAGCAAATAAGACTTTCTGAAGTCTCAGAGAATGCATTAAACTGAAGCTATCATTCCAGTTCTCTGCAGAAAATTTCTTTTGTTTAGCAAATCAGCTTTTAGTGCAAAATATATTTAAATCATTCCTCGTATATAGCCAACACATTTAGGGTAGTTTTATTTAACTAATAAAGGAATCACTCTAAAAGGCAATTTTTGTTCATTCAATTGAATACCAATTTCCATCCAAACAGACTGTGACACAAATACTGAATAATCAGCTAATAAAAAAGTAATGCACCCTTCACCATTTTCTAATAGAAGAAAAAATGTAAAAATTAAGAATCCCAGGCATGCATAATAGCATGAGCGTGCGGTATCTCCCTGTTTAGCAGAAAGCGCCAGTTGTATTGTAAATGTTACGCTCAGACTTTTACGAGTTATGAGCCAAAGAAAATCACCCTTTATTATAGAAAATAAAAGCTGAAAAGGCAAAGCAAGATAACACTAGATTAGTTAGCTCAGTGTTTCCTGCTTGCTGACCTAAGCCACAATTCGAGTAAGTGACTAGAAGGACTTTCATTTTTCCATCACCGTACCCCAACTCTTTTGCAGAAGCCTGGGGAAAGGCAAGCTGCTGTTCAGGGCTGCAGAGACCTGGCATGACAGGGTGGGGGGCTTGAGGGAGGGCCCCAGCTTCTTTGCAGGGTGCAGAAGGCCATCAGAGCCGGTCCGTGATCCCACAGTGCTGTCACTCCTCTTCCCTCCACAGGTCTGGCCACTAATGAGCAGCTCCTGCACCTGATGGCCTTGCGGTATGGCGATGCTGCCGGGAGAATTGGCTTCTCTGACTTTGTGTGCTGCATGCTGCGCCTCGAAACCATGACCCGTGAGTCTCAGAGCCGGGGCTTGGAGTCAGGCAGGGGATGTGGCAGCAGGGGAGCTTGCAAAGCCAGACGGAGGGCAGCAGCAGGAGGCAAGGGGCATGATGCTAGACATGATAATACGTTTGTAACAGCACAGCTTGGAAATGACAAGCCTGCCCAGAATCTAGGCATGGTCCAGACATCCCTTTGGGCAGCCTATTTGCCAGAAGCCAGGTTTGTCTCCTGCCCACAGGAGCAACTATGGCTTGTAGAGAGTAGCTTAGTGCTGAGAGAAAGCAGCAGCTGGGAATACAGTGGTGCCCTTGCTGAGAGGGGCCAGAAGGGAGGTTGGCCTGCAGTTTCCCATCAGAGCTCATCGGAGTGCCTGTGGGCTGCAGCAGCACCACGCTGCCCTGTTTTTTTTCCCTGCTGAGGAGCGTCGGTAATATATATCCAGTGCTTCTTCAGCTGCCAATCCTTTTTTGCTGCATGAATTTAGCCTGACCTCTGCAGGCTTGTCCTTAGAGCCCCTATGCACTAAGACTCATTTTTCTAAAAACAAGATGTGTCCTTGTGCTGGTGCCTTTCCACACAAGCTTGAGCATCCTCGTCCACACCAAGCTTCCTGCAGGGTGGTGTGGAGCATTGCTGGTACCACTGAGGGGACACTGCATGCGTTCATGCCCAGTGAAGAGGAATGAGGCAACACACCTCGAGTGGAAGGCTTTCTCTTTTGGTTAAAAGTTGGAGAATTCTGAATCACAGCAAGGGAGGTGCTTTTTTGCCCATTTATTATTTTTTAACTGGAGAGGTGTTTTTCCCACCAACTTCAGTAAAGTTCTCTCATTTTTTTGGTAAGGAGAAGGTCTGAGAACCTTCTTGCTGGATAAACAAACTCATGCCCTGTGTTGCATCCAGCTATTGTCTTGCAGTTGCAAGGAGGGAGTGTCTGTAAATAAGCCTTTGCCTGAAAGTAAATGGAATTCTGTTTTACAAAAGCATAATTTTTACTATTCTAATACAAGCATTTTGATTGGAAATACTTGTAGTTTAACCCAGCAGTTGTGACCCATGTGCTAGAACATTGCTACAGCAATTTAGTTCATCTTTGGAATGAGCTGGGTTTCAACAGCGCATGGAAATGAGTGTTCATTTTTTCCCATGTGTTTTTTACCACTGATGTTTCATGGACCAGTAGTGGTCAGTGGATCCGCCTGGATGACACTACCTAAAATGCCATTTCAAGGGAGTACAGCAGAAGCAGCTCAGAAAGTAAGAGCGTGTCCTGATTTTAATGCTTTCATTAAAAAACAGATAACCTGTAAATACCCTTTTTTTTTTGTGATTACACATCACTTGCTACAGATGAAAATTCTTATGCCTAAATTAGTACCGTGGCATTTTTTTTTTATCTTAAAAAAAGATCCTCTTACATTTTAAGTGCCAGTGTAAAGAGAGCTCCTTTACATCCGCATTGAAAGGAATCTCTAAAAGTTTCACTGCTGTCTGTAATGAGTATCTTAAAATGCTCTCAACTCTTTCAGTTATCATTTTATAGAGGGTTTAATGTGGAATACATTTCTCAAACTTTTCTAATCATTGTGAATAAGATTGTTACAGGAGAGGATAAGGGTGCCAAGTGGAAATAAAAGGCAGTCCACCTTTGTGATGATGTGAATGCAGCAGGGAAGATAAAATCTGTCCCATTAAATCATTACTCATCCTTTCAAGATAGCTGGAGATGAGACCCAAATCAAAAGCAGCAGCTTCTTTGCAAACTCTATTTAACTGGAGTTAATGAAGCAGTAAAGGGGCACTTACCTCTGCCCAGAGGAGGTAACTTCATCGCTGCCATTTGTTCCTAAAAAGGCTGCTGGGCACAAGCCCAGTCCTGCAAATATGACCATGTCAAGGGGCTGGGAGCAACATGGGGATTTCCTTGTTCTATGCCTTTCTTCAGAGCAGTATGGGCTGGATGTGCTTCATTGTATTAGCTTTCCTCTCTGCTTTCTCTCTGCTCTGGATCATGTAGGTGGCTCTGGTTGCCTCTTACGGGGCACACAAGCAATGCAGCCTTGTGCCCTGTTCCTACACCTTCCCAGGAGCTGTGCACTGTTGTCTAAAGCTGGACAGGTTTCAAAACATTCATGATGTTACGACGCCTTTTCCATTCAGGATGGGAAATGGGCTCCTGGAGAAATGTGTCATTGGAGGATAGACAGACTTAAAGTTGTTTCAACTTTTTATTACTGTTTGTAACAGCACATTGCTAGGAGAAGAGTAATTTCAAAATAAATATAAAGAACCCAAAATACTGTGTTTTGACTTTAGCCAAGCATTTGGGTTCGAACAGTTTCTCCTAGACAAACTGCGATGTAAATATGCACATAGAATATAAATATTTGAATGGATTTAAATTTTCTGATGGCAAACTGCTCTGTCAGAAAACTTTCAGCAATATTAATTTCAAACTCTGGCTGAATAACAGCAGCATCTGCATTTATATTCCCTGGAAAACACTTGCAAGGCATACTAATGACTTCAAGAGAATCACTTTCTTTAGGGCACACTGTGATCGCTCACTGCCAGGGAGGATGGAAAAGGACCAACAGAAAGTTTCCCTGTGGGAAGATGTGTTTCATTAGTTCACCATTCTCCTGTCAGTCTTCAGGCGGGAGGTACAATTGAAACAAATTATGAGCGGAGATGAAAGCAATCACATTGAGCACTCCCTGTCTTATACTTCTGCAAAATTCTGGCCCTGCGATTGGAATGCCTTCTCAGGGTGTGATCCAAGGGCCAAGGCTGAGGCGGTACCCAGCACAGAAATGAGGTATGACTAGGCAGGATGGTGTGGGTAGACACCTGAGCCAGGCAGAGCACCCCAGCACAGGGGTGGCAGCTCTGCTCCTCAGCTGCCACAGCCTTACGTCTGCATTGCATTCTTGCTTCCTCCTCATGAGATAAGATTTTTTTCTTTGTTCTATCCCTAGATGCATTTCAAAACTTAGCAGAGGGCAGATCACAAATTTTGCTGACGGCAATGGAGGTAAGAATGCTCCTTCCTTCTCTTGTCTCCAGGTCCGAAGTGGGACCACTGAGTATGTTAGCAGGAGAGTGAAGTTAAAGATGATGTGTGATGTATGTTGCTAGGGGTTTTGCCTCCAACACCAACAGTGATGAGGGTTTTGCCTGACTCGATATGTGTAATGGGTGGGAGGCATTTCCCTGGGGTTCCCTGGTCCCAGTCACACAGCCTAGTGAGGGTGAGCACAGCTCAGTGGTGGCCATCCACGTCCAAAGCGTAGAGCCTTCCCCTACTGACGCCAGCTTGTCATTGCTGGAAACATTGCTCGAAGTGATTTTGAGGAAGTAACAACAACAACAACAAAAAGCCCTCATTTCTTACTGCCCCATCTGTTAATTCTGAATTGCAAAACATCTTGGTTTTAAGAAAGAGATAGCAGACAAATGCTTGCTGTTGCTGTTTGTCTTAAAAGCACAGCCTGAAGGATATCTAGCTGAATGGGGATACATCAAGCTTTCTGTCAGCTAGTCTGAAGAAAAAATCCTGCTGTACTCCATAGTGATATGCCCGAGTGCTGCGTTTTATCAGTCTGGGTACTGTTATTTGACAACACAGTGTTTAAAAAGATTTTTTTAAAAAAAACCTTTTACAATCTTGCCAGCTCCTGTTTATACTCTGTGGTTAGTTCAGTGGCTCATAGTTCATTAAATCTGGTTTGCATCAAGAGCTGAGCAGAGTTTCCAAGCAGAGGCACTGAACCTGTTTTATGGGGTAATCTATAGGACAACCACATTCCCAGAGCCTGCTATCCCTTTCACTTGCAATCGTGCAGGTGCCATACTTTCCCAGCAATTGCTCTTGCTGCAGCTGCTGCAATAATTTATCATGGAAAGCAACATATGGAAAGTGTTTCTGGGTCTGAATTGTAATAAGGGAAAAAGGCAGTTCCAAAACCCCTAACTATCCTGTGTAGGACAAAAGGACCATCGTCACTGAGTCACAGCAGTGTGCGGTACCTTTGGGTACAGAGACACATGTCTGAAGACTTAGTGTGAAATCACTATCTAAATGCACCTTTTCTTCTTTTTCCAGTGGCTGACTCTTGTCATGTACACATAAAGAGATGTCAGAGCTCAAGGCTGCTGGTAAGAAAACTTCTTAGTACTAAACATACTGAGAAGAAAGGGGTGGGTACCCTTACAGCAGCCACAGTGAATATGAGTGGGGGCCCTACAGAAAGCTCACCCTGGGATTATGGTGGGTTTTGAGAGAAACAGAAAGGTGAGAGCTGCAGCATGAGGGGGGCTGCAAAGGGAATTGGACTTTGGGCTATTTTTTCTGGGGAATTGCTGGTGGTGTTATCAGTTGCTAAGACCACCGATGGCTCAGTTAGCCACTTGCCCTCTGTTCCCACTTGAGGTAATACATTTTCAGTAGATCAACTAGCAGAACTTGGGGTTTTTTGCCATCTTCTGAGGCACACAATTACTCCTGCATATCTTACATAGCTGCAGCAAATGTAAAGCCAAGTAGAGGGTGGGCATATGAGGTCACTTAGATTTCTTGGTCAGTCTGATTTCACATTTTTAACTGAATTATGTGATTTAGTTTACCTTTGAACAGCAGTCCCTAACTTGTGCTTCATTTGGTGTTTGCTCCCTCCATGTCAGGCCTGGAAAAGGCCTTTTTTGCCCTGAAGTTCACCTAGACTTTCCAGTTTTGCTGCTTGGTTCTCGTGAAGAACTCTGCCTTTTCCTACAAAACTTATCCTGTTTATACATCCATAAACTGTCTCTGCCATCATGCTTCTACTAACCCACTGGGATGCAGCTGTTCCCAGTCACAACTGTAAAGTGTTAGTGCTGGTCCCAGACATTTGGCACTGAGGAGAAAGCAGGGAGAAAACCCAATCCTTAGAGAAAACATGCAGTGGAGGGCCAGCAGCCTCCTGCCATTGTGTTGTGGTTGACCCCAGGAACTCACGGAGCACCCCTG